GCATTGGGTTCTGGGTCCCGGAGATCCCTGGGCGTCGGAAAGGAAGCAGGAACAGCCCTCAGGAGACCATTTGCCGTGGGCCAGGCAAGAGATTGTAGCTGCTTTGAACTTGGCAGTGGCAGGACCTTAGAGAAAAGTGGGCCGACGTGGACTCTAGCAGAGGTCACACCGGCAGGGCCGGTGTGCTGCCTGTGGGAGATGAGACAGTGAGGCGTTGAACAGGACCCTCGAGACCCCTTTAGAGCCACGGGACACGTGGAAGTGACTTACTGGAGACCCTGGCACGAAGCCGGGCTTATGGTAGGAGGAGAGAGGCTCGGTCGTCTTAGATTTTAAGATGACTCTGAAGAGAAAGGGGTCGTAGACGACATCACATTTGTCAGGGTCTGATAGGTAATTTACACAGGGGAAGGAGGCGGCGATTCCCTCGGCCAGGGGATCATATGCTTTTCATTTAATGAAAGTTAAAGGTTACTGTTCTAATCCTTAAATAGAAGCTTGTTAGAAAACTGAATTGAGAAGGAACGGTTAATTTTGGTTTTTTTAAAAAAAAATGGAACGTTAGAAGGATTAAAGGGACTTAATATGTGATTCATATGAGAACCAGAACACGCGTTTCATGGGAGAATAAAAGATCTTTAAGTTCATAACTTTTTTTTTCTAAAGTAGACAGTTATTAGAAGCTTTAACCTTTCTACCCACGTGCGGTTTCTAGACTGCCGCTGAGTTACCCAAAAGAGGCCCTTCCCAGACCTCATCCCAGGGCAAGTCTGGGGGGTGTTGGTCTCTAAATACTGTTTCTGAACATTTATTTTCACCTTCTGTTCTTGAGGCTGACGTTCTCTCTGCGGTCCTAAAAAGTTAAATGAAAATTTCTGGACACAGTGGTTAAGTTTTTTGTTTTTTGTTTTTCCAGAAGAGCTGCCTCTAAAAATCAAGCAAGAGAAAAATAGGTGTCACTTCCCTGAAAAACTCAGCGTGTTTATGCTCCTTCTTCCCACCTCCCTGCTGGCGTAATTGCTTCATTACCAAGACGCCATGTGCGTGGCTGGTGCTCAGTTAATTTGTGCCTGTTTGTCGTGTTTGCGCACGTAATTCCCTCCTTTTCTTCATAGTCTTCGAGAGCAGAAGTGCAGAATTGGCGGTGACATTCTCCACGCGCAGTGGGCTCCCGGTTACAGTCCCCTGTGGGCGGCTGCCCGGGAGCCCGAATTCTTCTTGTAGGAAAGGCATTGAAACACTTCATAAGAGCAGTCGGATGGTGTTTACTTCTGAAATTCTTTTCACTGCTTTTTTGTCTTGTTTTACTATAATACTTCATCGCACTCAAAAAATATTTGCAGACTGAAAAATGTGATGCCATACAGTGGCAGTTCGGAAGCAGCCTTTCTCTATTGGTGGTGGAAACCTGCTGTAAAAAGAGAAAAAATACATACTTTCTCATCAACACCTAATAGGGCTGTGTGATAATAACCCCACGACTGAGGTCCCAGATGCTTTTCCGAATTCTGTTATATGGGTGTATGAACTTGAGGATTTCATGGGAAGAGGTATACGTATTTTATAAACCAAGAAGTTTGGAAATTACAGCAGAAAAATGCTGTTTCCCAGACCAAGCCTTGAAAAATTGCACAGGGGGAATCGACATTTTTTAATGGGTAAAAACTGCTAAAAGCTAATTAGCACCATGAAGGGCCGATGGCAGCTGGTGCTAATTTACCCCGTCCCAACGCCAGGCAAGCAGCGCGGTTGACAGCGTGGTTTTACGTCGGAGTCACATCTGTAGATCTGCAGCTTTAAAACTCCATCTCATTCTTAAAGACCATCTTCGAGCATTCTTTTGCACATTCGGAAGCACTTACCTGGCCCGCTCGTCCTCTGGTCTCAGGAAGCGGGGAGCCTCTCCCATCTTCCGACAGGCAGAGGCCACTGAGAACAAGTCAAGACAAACTTGTTTTATGTGGTTGTGAGGGTTGAAATGGTGTAGAAATGGGCAGAGGAAAAGTGTGGTCCTGTTTCTCGCCAGGCAGTAGTTGTGGTCTCTCGGAGCTGCACGACATCAGCTCGCCCGCATGGGAGAGCCCGGGGCCATAGAAACGGCTCAGAAACTGCACGGGCAGCTGAAAATGTGCGAGTAGCCACGTGAAAAAGTCAAAGGAAATGGGTCAAGTCGATCATTTTAATACTGCGTTTTACTTAACCCAGTCTGTTTCAAACGTTATTGTTTCATCATGTGATCAAAATTAGCATTACGAATGAGATTTTTTTTTTACCTTTCCCATGATGAGTCTGGGAAATTGAATGTGTAGTTTGCACTCACAGCGGACTCAGTTCGGGCAAGTCACTCTTCGAGGGCCCAGGTGTCCCACGGCCATCGTGCTGGGTGCACAGTCCTGGAACAAGTGTTTCCACCTTCTCTCTGTCTTCCGCAGCGTGTCAGCGATGGGCTCACTGGTAGGAAGGGTCGGCGGCAATGTGGTTAATACCCTGGGTCGGCCCGGGTCCAGCTGGTGGGGCCAGTGGCCGCCTGCTCTCTCTGGGACCATGTGCACTGTGACTGTTCTCCAGATACTTCCCTTGTGCAGAACCAAATTGTTAATTCCGCGTTTCATAGAGAAGGTGCTCTTCGAGGAGTTTTCTTTAGCAAAGATTAAGGTGTGGCGGTTGTAAATGTCTTTTTTTGTTTTAATTTTCTAAAGTAAAACTTTAGCATAACCCAACCAGCCGTGGCCGCTGCGGCACAGTTAGTTGTAGTGTTCTCCCGCGCACCCAAAGGTGGTGGGCCAGGGCACAGTTTGTGGGTTCAGTCCCTGGTTGGGGTGCGTTCGAAGGCAACCAATCTGTGTGTCTCTCTTTCTCTCTCTCTCTTAAGAAAAATAAAAAGAAATGCCCTCAGGTAAGATAAAAAAAGTAAAGTAACCCAATCATGTCCTTTTTTTATAATACTTGGAAAGACTTCCATTATGTCTTTTTTGGAGGCAGTGATTAAATACATACACACATTATGGTCATTCCCATTGGCTTTTCTTAAAAAGCGTTTGAAACTTTAAAAAAATAACATAATTATGAACCTCAGAATTAAGGACATTAAACCGGAGGACTGGTGTTTGCCTTCAGCTGTGTTTATTGTTTGGGTGTGGGGGTTACCTAAAAATGGGCCTTTTTTGCGGTTACATTTTAGTAGTAAAAAATGCCTGTTCAACGAGGTCTGGTTTATGCACTTTTGTGGGCTGAGTGAATCAAGCTCTAAACTTTTATCTGAATCTGTGGAGCTCAGATATAAACGGAAAAGATCACAGCTTTGGGGGGAGGCCTCTGCTGCCCAGCCCTGTCTGCAGAGCTGATGAGCACCGCAGCTCAATCGTCTCCCAGAAACCCTGGCTGTAATTGGACCCAATGGGGTCTCCTCCTTTGATCAGATCAGAGCAACTGTGACTTTACACTGGAAATGTCACCCCTGTGAAAGGACTGTCACCTGTAGGGCTGGTCTTTCCTCTGATGCCGCCCCCCCCTTCCCATCTCATTAGCATTAGTCTAAGTGCAGTTGTTAATTAGGTGGACACTTCCATCCCCATCATCATCAACAAGGGTAGTTAGGACGGCTGGTAATAAAGAAGGAAAAACATTTCTTCTTTGCAGGGACTCATGTATCTGTCTGTGTATATGTCGGCGTGAAGGGGAGGTGACAGTGTTTTGTTACCTGGTAGTTTTGTAAGGACGCGGGCCTGCTCCGAGAAGGGACGGTCCAACCAGCATTTGTCTCATCGTGTCCACGTCCAGTCACCTCCCCCTGAAAAAAGGACTGCCAGGTCCGTAGTTTGATCACGCTGACACGTTCATCTCAGGAAGGGCTGTTCTTAAGTAACATGCCTTCCTTAGCATCCACAGAACTTGAAGTGAAAAGATGGAAATGTAGGAAAAGTCACATCAACCTTAGGGGCCTTTTGAAATGATGCCGGTTCACGGCTCCGACTGGTGTGGTTCGGGGGGTTGGGTGCTGTCCCACTGGGTCAGTTTCTGGTCAGGGCCTGTGTGTGGCTTGTCGGCCGGTCCCCAGTTGGGGCACGTGCCAGAGACAACCAGTCGACCACACATTGATGTGTCTCTCCGTCTTCTTCTCTCCTCCTCCTCTCTAGAAATAAATAAATAAAATCTTTAAAGGTTCCATTATGCCAATTTCTAGGTAATAGAAATTGGCTTAATTTAAACGTGTTAATAATATAATCTGATTACTAGTTCGTAAGGCAATGACCTTGAACTCAAACTGCCCATGAACTCAAACTAGACAGAACTGGGTTCTTGTCTCGGTTTGGTCACTCACTGGCTCTCCATTGCGGGCAAACTGATTCCCATCTTTAAGCTCCTGTTTCCTCGTTCATAGTGGGGAATATGAACGCTTTCTTTAGAAGACCCTGAAGAGTAAATGAGACAGTGTGAAACATTTGCATAACATAATTCTCTACTCACCGTAGGTTCTCAATAACTTTACCTCAGTGCCCTCCTTTGATCTAATAATGGTCCAAACTATTCAGCAAATGACTGGAAAATTGCATGTGCAAATGAGGCTTCCAAAAATACAATTAAATCGTAAAGTGGTCCTAGAGGATGTGTAACAAACAGCCTTGCAGAGCAGAAGTGAACAAGACCCACCCGGTTTCATCTCAGAACAAGTAGACACAGGTCGTAATTGCTAAAAATCTGCCGAAAAGCGGCCCACAAGCAGTTTACCGTAAAATAATTAAAGCTTATTTATGTCAAGAGGCCTTGGGAAAAAAAAGAGAGCATGAAGCGATTTGCATTAGCAGGTTTCCCTGGGTTCCTGCCTCCGTTTCAATTAACGGGCCAGCAGGTGCTCCGTGTAGTTACAGAGACACAGCTCTCCGGAGGAGGCTGGGTTTGGGGCTGACCTGCAGCCATGGCGGTTTGCCTGCTGACTGGGCTGGTACCTCGCCGGACCAATTTCCGAGGTGTTAATTTAACTGCTCCTCTCTGTCCTGCAGGTCTCAACCCTCAAAAATAAACTGAAGAAGCAGTCTACAGCGACCGGGGACGGCGTGGCCCGGGCCTTCCTGAGGGCGCAGGCTGCTTTGTTTGGGTCCTACAGGGATGCACTGAGATACAAACCCGTAAGCCTGCTACTTGCCTTTTCTTTGTAATAGTTGTTTGGAATGGGGCAGACGAGTCCAACACTGTAACATCACACCCTAATAACAGGGCATCTTAAAGGTCTCGTAAAATCCAAAAAAAAAACACATTGTGTTCCATCTCCAATTTCTTGACTTTTTGGTTTTCTTTTAGAAACCTTGGGTTAGCATTTCCCACCTGTCACCCTGCTTACCTTTCTGAAATTGGAATTCTTACCTCTTAACTAATGATGGTGTTAATGCATTTTTTTAAAAACCACCCGATCTTGTTAACATCATTCAGAAATTAACCGGACAATTGGGTTTATTGCATCAATGCGTGTAGAAATAAGTCCAAAATGAAAGTTTAAAAATATTAGAACTTGAAAATTCTGCCATATTTGGAGATTTCTTGTCTGCCTAATTCATAATGGGCTCATCCATTTAGCATATTCTTGCTCATTTCACCATTTCCTTTTTGTTTTAATATCCTAAAATGGTTACTGTGGAGAATTGTAGCCAAGATTGGAGATTGTTCCAAAAGGTAGAAATCAAAATGTATTCGTTTTTCTCCCTGAATTATTGGTGAAGTACGTGGGTCTGATTTTGTGCAAAGTAGTTCACTGCCCTTCCAGGACCGACGCACTGGATAGAAAACACCAAGTCAGCAGTGAGACCTGCAGTCTGTGGGAAGCAGCTCCGCCCACTTCCTCCATCTCTCCAGACTGCTGTCTTCCTCTTCGTAAAATGGCAGTTTTCACTCCCGTTGACCTTCCAGTACTGGTGTGGACACCCCACCGCCCACTGTGACGCACTACACAAGTGTGAACAGCTTGTCATTCCTCCACACTGGCCGCTGACTCAGTAGCTCTCACCCAGTGGCAGCACTCACACCTCCCTCTGAGGAGTCTCTGGGTTGTGGGAGGAGTCTCTGGGTTGTGGGAGGAGTCTCTGGGTCGTGGGAGGAGACTCGGAGTACCTGGGCAGAGGAGCTGCTGTCTGGGCATAGGCATCTATGTGGAACCAGCATGCTGATTGTTTTTGGGATATGTGTGCATTTTTTAAAGCATTGTAGAACTCACAGCACTGTACGTAGGACCCGTATCTCATGCAGGGGAGTCTCCAAAAATCACAGTTATGAGGTCTTTTTCTTGAAAAGACTGGGAAGCGGCCATCTGTATTCCACCAGAACATGTTCACGTTCGGATTATTGAACATCAGCGAAGACAAAGATGAGTTTCCAAGACACAGTGACTAATTGGAGTTGCCAAGTTTTTTAAAAGAGAGTTTGATTTCAAGTTTTCACGACAGTAGGAAAAGTCAGAAGTAGCACTTTGCTTGCATTGTGCCACATTTAAGTACTTTGTAATGTTTACAATCTCCATTTTTCCTTTCCCTTCCTTAATCGAGGACATGATTTCAATGGCTTGGACATTTTTCTTAAACCTCTCGGAAGCCCAGCTTCCTGGTGTCTGTGGGGAAATACGGGATTGCATCATAGGGTACCTTTCTGTCTACTGACCACATCCCACTCACTCTAAGTGTATTTGTTCATTTATCTGCATTTTTCCGTTTCTGTATGATGTCATCATCTTTCACCTCCAGCTCTTTCTGGGAGTCGGGATGGTGTTCTCATTCTTCATGCCGTTACCTTTCTGTTGCGTCAGCCTCTGAATGAAAGCTGAATTTTGATAGTATACTGAGTGTATTTAGTTTTTTTCCCTATTTCTTACCAAAAGCAATAGTTGTTAAGGGCACTTCTTTCTTTCGCTCCAGGGCGAGCCCGTCACGTTCTGCGAGGAGAGCTTCGTGAAGCACCGCTCAGGTCCCATGAAACAGTTCTTGGAGACTGCAGTCAACCTCCAACTTTTCAAGCAGGTAGGAGTGGCCTCCAGCCGTCCTTCTGGAAGAGAGGATGGCAAGACAGAGGCAGAAATGTCTGAGGCATTCGTGTCGCTTCTACATCACGTCTAAACCCCGAGTAACATCTTTGATAGAATTTCAAGGTTTTTTTCTTTCTTTTGTAACTCTAGAGCTATCTGTGGCATGGAACTCCACAACTATTAGGTAATAACTACTTTGCTGTTAAAGAATTCCTCTTTGAAAGTGCTGTGCTGGTGGTCTCACCGAGAGAGTCACAGGCAGGCGAAACAGCAGCGTGACTCTTTTCAGTGAGATGATGTCTTGGTTCGGTACGGCGGGTGCCTATGGGGAACAGACAATATTTTTTATAGGAAGGTCCCAGAGCAACCCGGTTGATAAAGTCATTCAGAAATGTGGAGCTTTTCAAAGCTTTGCAGGAATTTTTATAGCCATACAGAGAAATTCAGGGAAAAAAATCTGCAAGCATACGGTGTCTCCATTCTCGGCTCGGAAAAGGTAACTGCCATTTCGGAGGCAGGAGTTGACGCTGGAACTCAGGGGAAGGTGACGCCCCTGGTCTTCATCCCAGAGTGTGGCCACGGTTTTAGTTTCTGCTAATACAATATAGGTCCTTAACTCTTGCTTTTCTTATGTCACGTGTGACAATTCTAAGTGCAGACTTAGCTGCATGCATTCAGCATTCCCTGAAGAGCATCAGTGGGTCATCAGCACTGCTTGGGGCCGTGATGCAACGTGAAAGGGGGCCTCGTGCACTGTGGGTGGGCGTGCAGGTGGGGGGGTCTCCTCCAGACATTAACGGTGGGTCTGCCTTATGACCCAGCAGTCCCACCTCTGGGTATATATTTGAAGAAACCCAGAATATTAATTTGAAAGAATATATGCACCTCTATGTTTATTGTAGCATTATTTACAATAGCTAAACAAGGAAGCCACCCAACTGCCCATCACTATATATAGTGATGGAGATATATGTATATATGATACAATATTAGTACTCGGCTATAAAAAGAATGAAATCTACCATTTGCAATGACATGGATGGATCTAGAGGATTTTGTGCTAAGTGAAATAAGTCAAAGAAGACAAATACCTTATGATTTCATTTATACGTGGAATCTAAAGAACAGTATGAATGAACAAACTAGACAGAGAGTACACCAGAGAACACTTTGGTGCTACCACTTCAACGTGCAAATGTTTTTTGGCCTGGCAATTCCACTCTGAATTATGCACCCTGAAATCATTTACTGAAATTGTGCATAATAGCAAAACACTGGTGGCAGTCTTGGCTGTTCATTGGTATTAAAATAAGCGTATTTTTCTGTTCATGCAGTGTAGCAGTGTAGAGCAGAGAAATGGATGAGCTTGCAGTAAGGCAGCATGAATGAATGAAATGAAAGGAACTAATCCAGCCCTTGAAGAGTGAATGTGATGAGTCCTTTCATGTCATATCAACAGCAACAAAAATGTGGAAAACACATGATAAAATGCACACAGGAGAAGCTGGAGGGACCGTGGTCTTTCCCACGGGGAGCAAGGGGCACACGGCGGGGGGGCCCTTTAAGGGGGGGAACGTTTGGTAGTTTGTTTTATTACTGTTAAGTTAGTAATTATGTGAGTCTTCACGGTTCCAATTATTCAAGCGTTGCATAAAAAGCACATGTTTGAGCGTTGCTAGAGGGGCCGGCTGTGGGTTCCGTGGCAGGTGACTTCGGAACCTCTCCGAGCCTCCATTTCTGCCTCTGTGACCCGGGTCAGCCCCAGAGGCCGCGCGGCCCGTGACAGCTCCCCGAGCTCGAGATTCGAGATACTGTGGAGTAAACAGAACCGAGACGGATGAGAACGGGCCCCCTTTGGGTAGACTCCTCTGCAGATAACGCACTTGGAAGGGATCCCAGAAGCAGCTCCTGAGGTCTGCAACTCTGACAGCCCCGTCTTTCTTTCGCTTTACGAGGATTTGAGCCTTGCTCTTTGGAGCTCTTCCCTGTGACCTGAATGTGGGCTGCCGATGACGTCACGGGATTGTTCCCGAGCCGATTCCTTGCCTTCAGTCCTGTGTGCTGGCCATTACACGTGGCAGCACTGGCGGGGGGAGGTGCTGGGTGAAGTTCAGCGGGAACTTGCTTCCGTATTTGCAACCTTTCTGTAAATCTGAAATTATTTCAAGTTCAGCATTTTGGATTCACCCCATATCTACAGCCTGCAGCCATCTTGAGTTGCAGGCTCTACAAAGATACGGACCACTTTCAAAGTGTTTTGGGTCTGGGTACCTAACATGTAACAGGCACTTAGTGTTGAGGAGCAGAGAACTCTCGAGTGACTCCCCATTGGAAGGAATGGGCATGACAGTGCTTTGATGATTTGGGCAGATGACAAGCTTATAAAATTGAACACAGTGGCACTCACGTAGCAAAAATCCAAAAACCGAAGGAGAGGAGTGGCGTGGGGTTGCATATTGAGTGGGGTCCGGCATTTGAAACCCGGGGTCCGGCCGTGGGGTGTGGTGTGGAGTGCGAGCCCCGGCCCTCTCTGCCTTCCGCCGTGACCCACTTTCTCTGGCTCAGTCGGACGGCGGATAAAAGCCGTGGGTCAGAGGCCAGGCGCTTCCCTTTCATGTTCGCTGGCGGTTTGGGGAGATTCCAGAAAGCTTTTTAACATAAACAATACATTCTTAGAGATTTTCTACATTTTCCTGTTAACCTTTTTAGAGAAGAAACACATAGTTGGTTATTTATGGCACGTAATTTATAGCTGAGCTCGGCACACGCATTAGTCGTGCTGAGGAAGCACCTGCCCCACGGTGGGCGTGAGGGTCCTCGTGCCCAGCACATTTCACCACGAGCAGCGAGGAGACGTGAAATGCGGCCCAGGGGGCTGTGGAGACGCACTGGCAGGAAGAAGGAGTGAACAAGGCGAGAGAGGGCGTCTCCGCACAAGGGTGCACTCGGTGAGCCTCCTTGTTAAGTAATTTCCAGGAGTGCCCTCAGCTGGGTTTTCCTAAGTGCGGTCTCAAGGCACCGGCACCAGATTCACGTAGAAAAGTCATTGAAGATGCGTGTCCTTCAGGCTCACCTCCCGAAGTTCCAACTCAGGAGGCCTGGAATAAAACCCAGGAATCTGCATTGCTGACGAAATAGCATAACAACACACACACTGAAGTTTCAGAAACTCGAGTCTCAGTGTGCTTCACCCAGACTCTCCTCCAGCCGCCTGGTCTGCGTGCCCGCCACACCCTGGGCCGTGTGCCTGGTGCTGGCGGGCCCGGGAGAGCAGAGCAGGAGAGAATGTCTGCTTCTGTAAATCCTCCCTCCGTAGCAGGAGGGGGCAGAGTAAATTAAATAAGGTATGTGGCAGGTTCAGGGCTCAGTCGTGTGGAAAAGTAAACAGAACAGGAGCAGGGGACTCCCCTGGGGGACAGGCAGGAACTGGAGAGGCAGCGGAGATTTCAGGAAGAGGTGGCCCGGGTTCACTGTCCCTGTAGGGTGACCGAGACGACAGCAGAGACAAGGAGGACTTGGAGGGCGACTGCTGAGAAGAGATGTCTGCTTGGACCCGTCGGTAGAAGATACGGCACGAACCAGCCAGATCAGGGACCTGGCAGCAGGGTCCCTGTATGATCTGAAGGATGTGGGCTGCGGTGGGAGAGGCTCAGGGGGCCACGTGATCGCTCATCCCCACCGGGGGGTGGGAAGACGGGGGGCGAAGACAGTTCACTGTTGGGCATGTGAGTTTGAGATGCCCGTTGGACGTCCGAGTAGTCTTTGGGGTTGGCAGCTGGACCAATGAGGCCCAGGAGACACACTGGAGACACATATTCGGGGGTCATCCACATGTAAAGAGCATTTAAAGCCACCCAGCTGGAGAGCCAGGGAGACCGCCAAGGTTGAGCGTCTAAATGCAAGTGACGGTTGGTCCAGGGACTGGAAAGGGGGCAGCTGCAGAGGAAACCAGGAAAGACGCGTGGCCAGGTGAGTAGGAGAGTGTGCAGGGCAGTGACTCATCTCCGCAGCCAGGTAGGAGAAGGACACCAGAGAGCAAGGGACTGACACTGTCCCGTGCTCGTGACGGTTCATTACAGCAAGGACTTGGCGTTGAGCCCTGGTCTCTGCAATGTGGACAGTTTTATGGTAAAGGGGGGCGCGGGGGTGGGCCCAGCTGGAGGAGTAGGTGGTCAGGCAGGGAAGTGGCGTATGTGTGGGCCGTGGGGAAGCCCCGGCCAAGACAGAAAACACTCAGGAGGAAGGAGGCAGGTGGTCAGGGGAGCTGGTCTTTGGGACGGGCCCAGACACCTGGAGGGAAGGGGCGTCTCTGGGGGGGGGACAGAGAGCGAGGTACTTAGAGATGGGGACCTGGCCTTTTCCTTGCTTCAGGTTTCTCATTTCCCGTGAAGCGAGGCCAGGAGCTGGGGGGGGGGGGGGGGGGGGGTAGGGGAGGTGACTGCACCTCGAAGTGAGAGGATGGGAGGAAGACGGGAGACTAAGGGCCTGCAGAAGTAACAGGACCGCGCCTGTTCCTCAGGGCACACTGCAGGTCCCGCAGGAGGTGAATCTCGGGGGGCGCGGTCAGCGCGGTGGGCGGGGCCTCCTGAGCACCTGCTGCTCCCAGCTGTCCTGGGTGGTCGGTGCCAGGCGCCCTTTCCTGGACCCACTTCTACCATAAACCGCAGGGCTTCCTCCCTCCCTCACCGCTAGCAAGTCTGGGCGGGACTGTCCCCATCACGATGTTCCCACCGTGATATCCGCACTGGCCGCCCTCGCTGTTTAAACGTGAATGCTGCCTGCCCCCTGCCTCCTCCATGCGATTCCCAGCCGCCTCCCTACCCTGACCACCTCCTCACGCACTAAATAATCGGTGTTTTTGCTTCTTTCCTATCGTCTCCCCCTAGCCGCAACCCCTGGATGGTGGAGCATCGCGAGGGCTTGGGATTTTGTCTGTTCCATTCATTTTTGTGTTTAGTCTCCTAGAAAAGTGCCTGGCCTATAGTAAACATTCAGTTAAATATTTATTGAGTGATTGAATTAATTCTTTGGTCCCCTGGTCATTACATGCAACAGACTCAATTCCAGAGGCAATTATTTAATGCCTGTTACCAGGCCCTGGAAGGTGCTATGGTCCCGTTCATGCCATTTGGAATGATTAGTTCTAATGATGAACGGCACTGCATGGGCTTCTTCTACCCTTCAAAGTCTCCTGCTCATTATTTCCTGGTCGCCTAACTTAGGATACGTAACGCTTCTGCGACCACCTAACCTTCGAAATGAAACAAAAGTAACCATGTATTTCTGCTCCTTCACGCACTTCATTCTCTTGATTTAAGCTCCACACTGACCCAGCTTATTCCCATTTGTTACAACAGCCCATGTTTATATACAGCTACTAACCGAACACCTTGCATTTCACAGGTGTCCATAAATATCTGATGACTTAATTTATTGTAACACTTTAATGTAGTTTTCACTAACTTGTCAAGGTTTACGGAGCATTTATAAGGTGAAATATTGTAATCAGACTGCTTACTTTTTTTCAGCCTGAAACATTATATAGAAAAGAAAGTTTAAAGATCCCTAGGTAATGAATGTATTTTGAAGTAAGTTTTTTTTACTGTATTTAAGTGTTTTTTAATTGCTAAAGATTTCTGATTCGTTTAAAATGCATTTTTCTCTAGCTCTCACGACTTCAGTTTTATTACATTAGTTACCTTTGTGTCCAAGAAGGGTTGCTGATACGAGACAGTTTTTTGGGACATGTGATGTTTCCTCCAGGCTGCAAAGGCGGGTGGGCATATGGTTGTGTTACTGTGTGGTTCCGGGGTCCGTGCTGGGCCTCGGGTTGGTGCACGGAAGGGCGGGTGGTCCTCTTGCCCAGCTGGGCCGAGAATCAGTCCCTCACCCTCTGTCCGCAGAGGATGGGGAACAATCTTTTCCAAGCGTTTTAAAAGAACCAAATATTTCATTATGGCCATGACCAGAGTTTTGACTGGTTGGCTGCCACTAAATATTTATGTAACACACGTCCAGACTGTTGACCTCATTGGGACCCCGAAGAACAGCACGGCTTGGGGGGTTTTAGACTAAATGCCGCGAACGCTTCACTGCCTGGTGAAGTGGTGAAGACCGGCAAGGGGCACACGGTTGGTCTCGTAAGGGAATGGACGCTCCTGCTGCCTCCTGGCCGTGTATTCAAGTTCATCTGCGACTCTGACCAGATTCTTCATTTTTTTTGTAAAGAATTCTGTCCTCAAGTCTATTCTTTATGCTCTAGTGCATGGTTAAAATATTTATTTCATGCTTTGTTGTGTTTTAAACACTGGAGTGACGAATATTCATTTGCACTGAACAATATTGCTGACTGAGGTGCATTCAAAACAACGAGTGATGGCTTTAGATTGACTCAGTTTCCTACCAGGGTGGCTTTTCGGAAACACTCGGGACAACCTGAGTGACGTGACCGCCAGCCAGAGTGAGCAGGGGGCAGTTTTGCTGCTCGACACTATTTCCCCCGTGACCTGTCACCTGCTGTCAGATCGCGTCACCAGATTGACAAAGTCCAGTTCCTCCAAGTGTCGATGATGTAAGGGGACGATGTTATTGACCTTGAGAATTACATACATTCTGATTTAAATCCACTTTATTCATTCATAATTTACGGTAACATTTTGGAGTCCGCACTATGGCATTATGCCTGTATTTTTGAGATGTCCGGCTATTTGTGTTTTGGTGTGAGAACTGTGCGGGTTTGGTTCCAAGTTTTAACTCTCACTTTTGAAATGCAAAGCCACGGTGCGGAGTAATGGAGAACCACCATCCTAAGGCACCCCTGAACCCCTTTAAGGGCCCCCTGCCGTCTAATTTCTGTCACGTCGGGGGCACTGGCACTGTTATTAGCAGTGCTGTCTGTCATTCCGCGCCACGCCCACTCTCCCACAACACGTGTCCCCCGGTCAGGAGAGAGCCGCGTGAACGGGTGGCGAGGGTGCATCATGTTGCAGGGTCAGGCACACTGCAGGGTCGTAGCTTTTCTGACACTGCACATTGTTTAGTTCAAAATTATTTCTCTGCAACAGCTGCTGAAAGTGTTCTGTTCCTTTTTGCTCACTACGAAAAGCCCACAGGGTGTCCGACCCTGTGACAGCCCGCAGGTCACGTGTGGCCCAGGATGGCTGGGAATTGGACCCGACACAAAATCCCACATCTCTTTACAACAGGATGAGATTTGTGTGTGTGTGACTACGTGTCCTGGTGTATTTGATGTGCGGCCCGAGACAGCTCCTCTCAGTGTGGCCCGGAGACACCAGAGGGCTTGGGCCCCCCGCTGAGCTATCAGTGGTGTGTGACCGTGACCCGACTCCACTCGGGGTTGGGGGAGCTGTTGTTGAGTCAGCAGTGGACAGAGGTGTGGAGAGGCCTGCTACCTTCCGCGTCCCCCTCCCTGATGCCCCCCTCAGTTCCCCTCGAGTGTCCGTATCTGTGTGTGAGTCACGCTTGTGTGTGTGTGTGCACAGAATCCCCCTTTGCCTTTAAAAGCAAATGTTTTCACTAAGAATGTGTGCCGATAAGTGTGTCTGTCTGTCCCTGGCGGGACTGTGTGCGGGGTCGGTGCTAACGCCGGGCAGTTAACCAGGTGATTAATGGGTACCAGCCCCCTGCTAGCTGAGCAACCCAGAGTAGACACTCATCCTCCGAAACGCACAATCAGTAAATAGTTCGGGTTTATCTCTTTTTAGACTCGCATGGTTCCACTCCGAGGAAAATGGATGGATTATTTTCAGTAAACACAAAAATGAAAACCTTTTAAAAAGTCCTGTAGTCTTAATCTTTGAAAGCAAATTAAGTCCTTTAAAAGGATGTCTTAGTTCGTTCCAATTGTCAAGAATGTATTACTTTAAATTTATCATCCTGCCTCACCTTATTTTTTTTTTGCCAAAATGATACTCAGCCCATCAAATCAGTTCCCTTTCGTCTGATTTATAGCTGTGTTGAAAATGTGCACCAGTCAAATTTCGCAAGCTTTTAAAACTGCTGTACTTACAAATTAACCATTCATTCTGTGTAAGAAATGCCAGTATTAGAAGCTAGTGCCTTTTCTCGGAGGTAGGGTGCCGTGAATGATCCACACCTTGTAACCACTCCGCTGTAAAACCTGGGCCACCGCAGCACGCGTGTGCACGGCAGCACCCGCTCACCCTGGCGGCAGGCGCCGTGCCGGGCATGGACGGGGCTCACGCCTCCGCTCAGGAAGCTTGGGGTTGGGTCCCGGCGGAAATGGCGGCACTGGGGACCGCGGACTTTATTATTATTAACACCCATCCATGCCTACGGGGAGGGCGCTGTGTGTTCTTCCAGTCGACACTCACCGAACCCCGTGAGCTGTGCCTGTCCCTCCCACGGAGTGGTCTCCGAGCCGGCTGGCGGCCCCGAAGCCAGCGGTGGCAGAGTTGTGACACAGGCCTGTCCTGCTCTGGACCCCACGGTCGTGGCCCTTGATCTCTCGGAAACGTCCTGTGTGCCGAGCACAGCGGGGACGTAGCAGTGGGCAAGCCACGTCCCCCGCCCGCAGAGAGTCCTGACTTTTCTGAGAGCAGCTCCTACTAAAAAAACAAGCCCATGACTCCATCCTCTTGGCTACATCTTTATTCAAACTTGTCTCACCGCATGTTTGGCCAAGTTATTCGATGGTAGTAAAAAGTGGCTAAGCCACTTCTGAACAGGAATGTGTCGGTCTGTTTGCCATGTTCCCTTCATTTTGGTCTGTAGGAGATTTTTGTCTCGGTGCTGCCCGGGGAATCCTGGGTTGTCCACCCCGTGCCTCTCAACCAGTTAACCATGTAACCTTTAAGCAGAAAGCTGGGGCAAGTGTGAGGATTTTTCTTTTAAGTCAAGCCACTTCATTTTAATTTCGATAACATTTAAATTTCCGGGGTGAAAAAGCTGTGGATTTATTCACTCCAGAATGAAAATGAGCATTTTATGTTCCTCCCGCAATCTTCGGGTCCGCCATCAAACATGTTTTATACGCTCCCTGAGTTGCTCTCTGCCTCCGATGAACGAGGGTGCCTTAGAGGTGCTTCCCTTGCACCTTCCTGGTGAATGGAGAACCTCAGAACACCGTGAGGTTTCTCATAATCTGGGCTATACCCAGATCAATGAAATGGAACGTCGTTTCCAAGTCTTAGGTGATACACACAGATGTGAAATATATCATGGGTCGCAAAATAACCACGTAGTGATAATTTTCAAAATGCAGTCTTCCCCTTCCCCCAAGATTCTGCTTAATTTAAATTTTTAAGTAAAAACTGAATCTTACGAAGTCAGTGGCAATGAACCTGCTTGACTCTTTTATATTTCAGTTCATCGATGGTCGACTGGCGAAGCTGAATTCCGGAAGGGGCTTCTCTGATGTCTTTGAAGAAGAGATCACTTCGGGGGGCTTCTGTGGAGGTAAAGGCGGCTTCCAGCGTGGTTCCCCATTTTCCAGAGAGCGGCTGTCTTGATCTTTGCACTTGAGTCTGATGTAAGCTGTTTCATAAGCAGCTACTTTCTCCTAAACCTGTCGTGTCCTAGAGACACGTTTTCATCGCAGCGGGGCTGTTAACGGACTTTGCCTGTTTCCATCACTCAGGGCCTTCGTGTGGCCTCGTGTGAGTGGGTGGTGGTTTGTTTGAAAATCTCTCACTGTCCCCAGATGCGGCCGTCACAGAAACGCCAAGTGTCTGTCCCCTGGCCCCTCGTCCTGGCTCGCGCCCCCTGCTAGCAGGTCCCAGTGGTGGCCGCTGCGGAGGGAGAGGGCGTGGAAGCAGTGGATGCTGATTTTATCCAAAAAGACAGCCCGAGTGCACTCGGCTTCTGCACTGTGAAGCGAGTGGGTTCAGTAGAGGTCCTTACCCTTCTGCTCTGGGGGCCACGGCAGCACCGGGAAAAGACAGTTTTCCATCCCTCGGGTGAAGCTGTCCTGGAGTGATCTGAGAAGGCGTGTTGTCCTGTGCGCGTGATACCGTGTTTTTAGTCAACATCAACTCCGATGTGGTTACACGGTCACACCGTTGGAAATGCGGACACGCAAAGCACGCCCTCACTGTCCAGGTGACTAATGACTCAGGGCCTGGCGCTCGGTAGGGCTGTCCCCACGCACCGTCCTGGTGACGAGAGAAGACTCTGCTCGAGCCCTTGTCCCGTCTGTCCCTTCAGCCAGTGTTTGCTGAGTGTTTAGTGCACACGAAGCCTTGTTCCCCATAAAGGGAGGACTAAACACGCAGAAACCCCTGACGTGTTCATTTTCACCTGGTGTGATAGTCATTTTTCTACTCTCTGTGGGTTTGATTTGGGGAAAAAAAATCCTTCAGTCTATGCATAGTAAGCAGTTGCTAGAATTGAGAAATAAAACATGAAAAGACAAACAGTACTTAACTACAGATTTCCTAAAATTTAATTTTATTCTTAAGATTGATTTTTGCACCATGTATTTTTTAATACAAAAGCCGTTGAGGTCATTTGTTCGTTGAAAGAGGTACAGTGGCCCAAGCGCTTTGACCTTGGCCTGGTGGTGTTGACCTTGGCCTGGAGGACACACAGCTTCACTGAAGGCATTCAGTTTGGGGAAGGACTCAGTTGGCCTGACTCAGCAGGTGCCCAGTGTGGAATTGTCCACCTCCCGCTGCTCGTGGGTAAAAATTTAGCTTCAGTGGAACTTGTGTGTTAGAATAAGGCTTTTTTACTTTTCACTGCAGACAAGCAAAATGTTGTCAGCTCATGGACAAACCGCTTGAGGCGCCGATTGGGTATTTACATAACTGCCATCTCATTAGCTTTAGGGCCTGTGGGGCTGGTGTCTTCCGAGGAATTGAAGATGACATCCCATGTCAGTACGGGGGTGGCACTATGATCCTTTCGTGTGGCTCAATTCTGTCGTCCTAACCGTGGGTTCAGATGCCTCTGTGATAGAGCGGGGGTGCGGGGCGGCTTTCCTGGAAGTTGGGGAGCCACCAGATTCTTCACACTTACTGTTTAAAAAGGATAGAATATCAGTCCCCAGTTGGCATGTGACTTGGAGTCCGCCCGGCCAGTGCAGCCTAATGCAGCCACTTCATTTGTTCTTTGTAAAAACAAAAAAGGTTTGAAGTTCTCGATTTGGAGCCGGTGCTGATCCAGTGTGGCTCACCAGGCATCCACTCCAGTAGATACGGTGAGGAAACATGGAAAAAGTCATGCCTGACCAGCACATGTTATGTTCTAATTACCACGGTACAGGTTGTTTTCTCAGAGATGTAAACAGATGACACTTAAAAGAAAATAAAGCAAAATTTATAGGGACTTGAAATCAGAAAGGTAATCTAATAAGGATCGATAAGGCGCTTGCAGATGAAGGTGGAGAGACAGTTCCATAGGCATCTTCTGCAGGTCAGCCCCTGCCGTTCGTCATCTGCGTGATGTTACCACACAGAAGATGCACGTCTGTGTCGCCGTAGTGACCTGTCCTTCCCAGAAGTCACTTGTCACCGCTTTGTCCTTCCTCTCACGGTCAGAGCGAGAATGATAATGACCGTTCGTACTTACTGGATATTGACCCAGGGCAGAGATGCCTGTGAGAGCTCCGCAGGTGGTAGCTTGTGTCTGACCCTCACAGCGCCCTGCCAGGTACTGGGTCGCCGTCCTTGGCCGCAGAGGCTCCTCTCAGTCCCTCACTCAGGGTCATGGGCAGCGGTGCCAGAGTCCAACCTGAGGTGTCCGCTTAGCTTCGAAGCCCTGGCGGTCACAGCTTTAGTGATGGCTTGTGGCGAGAGATCGTCTTCATTAGGAGACAGTCGTGAGCAGCAGCCTGTGCCGCACCGGCGGGATGAAAGCGCCGTTCCTGTGTTTCCGGGTACCTGTCGGAAATTTTCGTTTTTAATGCATAAAGCCCTCGGAAAGGTCACCATCCGAGAAATCACCACCCACTAATGGGGAAGGAAAGACGATGTCCCTTTAAGCGAAGATAATGAGGGACTTGCAGAAAAGCATCTCTGATGTCCCCTCACCCCATCACTGCGGTGGCAGCCCGTGAACTACTGGACTGGTTGCTAACATGCGTGGTTATGGTCAGAAGAACGTGACCGTGGGGGAGCTTCCTGGTCCTCGTGGGTCTGAAGGAAATGCACCGTGTGGAACGGTCACAGGTGACGTGCCCGAACTCACCCCACAGCCGGAACTGCGGTTGGCAGCGCCGTGGCTGCACGTCAGGGCTGTCCAGAATCCCTGTTTGCTGCCCCACAAGTCCCCGTGGTCCGGGCTGTTTAAAAACCCACGTTCCCCCTGATTCCATCCACAGGACCCTTGCGGGGAGCCCCACCTTAGCAGAAAATGCACAAGGGGAAGGGCAGCCAGAGAGGTGGGAGCTCACAGACAAGGTGGCGTAGAACAGGGTGTGACCCCAATGTTGGTCTGCGCCAAAGCAGTGAGTAGGTGAGAACATTTTTTCCTGTATTTTAAAAATTAAAACAGAACTAGTTCTGAAACCCACTTCCAGTGATAAACTTTAAAGAGGAGAAACACTTTCCGGCCGACGATCCATGGCGGGGCGCTGCGTGCTCTCCACGGAGGACGCCATCTGTCTCATCATCGGTTTTCTGACGTAAACCGTCACTTGTTTAATGCTGGTTCTTTTTACGGGCTGAGGCGGTGAAGGAACTTGGAGGGGTGGTGAGTGATCTTCAGCCTCAGTGTCGGCTTTTTGTCCTCCGTGAACACGTTAGACCATTTACACTCTGAGGATAAGTAACTGCACGTTACTGGAGTTTAAACAAATGCATTTGAAGAGAGAGTCTGTGCAGAAGACACATCATGTCCTCAGAATGAGAACCTGGCTTGGTGGATTAACAAGAGAACAACATTAAGAATTTTCTTGATGTTTTTATTCCCACAATCCTGTCACACTAACGGAAGGACTCGGGAATTTGTTCTTTTTCTTTCCCTATTTTTTTTGGCATTCAAATTCATTTTTAAGAGAAAAACAGCCTTACAAAGCATTTTCAAAGAGCAATGCGCTTGCCTCGTAAATTGTGTGCCGACAGGAGCCTTCAATCTCAAACGCACTAAATTAAGGAGACAAGTGCCCTTTAAACTTTTTTTTGACAGGAATCGACCTAAATTGTACCACATGTTTTCCTATGTCTTAGGCTGTTTACTCAGGGGCCTGCCCCCGAGCCAGGCCGTTCTGGGTTCTTACGGGCATTTCTCCCTCCGGCGGCTCCTCTCGGCCTCCATGCTGAGCAGCGGGCTTTGTCTCTCGTGCAGCTGCTGTGCAGGGACGCGGAGGGACACCCTCGGTAACGTCAGTGCCGTCCCGATGCCCTCGGCAGTCTGCAGAGGTGGCATTTCAGGGTGGAAGGACTGAGCCAAGAGTTAAAAATACCTGGATTCATGTCTTTGGGACCTTGGGCAAGTCGGGCACCCCCGAACCTCGGTTTCCCCTTTCGACAAGTTATTTGTAATGATCACCAGCGTCTGTGGTGTGTCCGACATGTGGCAGGTGCCACATTGAACGCTGTCCCTGCCGGCGGGGGGGGGAGGGGGGAGGGCCTGTCCCAAATCACAGTTCCCCGGGACAGAGTGAAGCCGGATTCCCAGATCCACCGACTCGAAAGGCACTGCCCTCTCCTGGGGTGACACTGACCCAGATTTTACCAATTTTAGTTGAAAAGCGCAACTTCAATAATGTAGATTTTAAAATAGAGAGAAGATGCTCTGTCTTAGGGACTCTGTGTCCTGGATAGGTTCTGCGTAGCCCTTAGGAGTTTGCTTTCTAAGCATTTAAACAACCTAGATGGCAGGTGAAATCTAACTGAAGTCAGTGGGTAGAGAACATTGCTTTAGATTATTCGTGTGGCTTCATCTTTTTTTTTTTGGCTTCTGATGTCATCTTGTTGACTGAATTATCATATTTGTAGCAGAAGATGGTCACTGGTTTTATCAGAACTTGATTGGTTCATTCTGAGCTTTCTAGTGACCATGATGCTCTCAGACCAGACGCCGCATTTCCTCCGCTTTTGGGGGTAATATCCTTCAGATTTGGATTTCCAATTGGAGAATATTGTCAAACCATGAGCGTGCATTTGAAATCAAGGTTGCTGTCAATTCATGTTACTATAGAACACCAACAGAAAATCTCTTATCTTCCTCCTCTGGGGTTTTTTTCCATTCCTAAATACCCTGTTCGTTTGTTCCTTCCCTGGCCCCTTAAAACATTGTTTCGAAATGAGCCTAATTGAGTAAAAGAGGCGAAACTTCTACAGAACAACATAGACATGAAACATTGAAAAATGAGTTTTAAAGACATGGGAATTTTGGCTTACAAAAGAGAGGTCATATTTTCCTCTCTGAAGATAAAAACAAAAGACAAAAAATTGTTTTGATATGTTAGTTTCCCGCGTGAGTAAGAATGTGTCTGTGCCTAGAAATGGTCATCACCGCGCCCCTGAGACTTACAGCGACTTACTGTCCTTACTGCAGACCACTGCCTCTATCCCAGCCTCTGTTGCAGAAAAGCGCAGGTTGCTCCCTAAAGTTCTGGAAATACTGGTTCTTGACAAATTTTGGTGTGTGGGTCTCTACCCCATCACATGTTCCTGACATTTATTTTTCCGTTTTCCAGGAAGCCCACGGTCCTACCAGCAGTGGGTGCACACAGTCAAGGTAACGGCGGCCTCTTCCGGCTTCTTCTCTTCTCACCCTTCCATCGGGGATTTTGTTCAGCAAAAGCACGCCGTGTGTTGGCACTGTTTTAAATGTTTGCATATTTTCTCAGGTTTACAAGTTTTTGTTTCATGCTTCTAGTTTGTTGGTATTCGTAAATGCAATTTTAAAATGGCAGGGTTTTGTCTTGAAGGAAGTGGCTTGTTGTGAAAAGCATGATTTTAATGCCGCCTGGAATTCTGCTCCCAAACAAGGAATCGGGTGGAACAGAACCATCGGATGGGAGTTTCGTCCTGTCCGGCGGTGTTTTTGTTAACGTGACTTTTTAAATACAGAATTCTCTCCCGCAAACCGGGACGTCAGGGCCTAATATGAAAGCACTCGATACACAGTTGCATTTTTTTATGAAGCTTTAAATATACTCTTATTCCTGATCCTACTGCCCAGGTCTGCCCAGACTGAGGTGAAGTGATTTTTAAATGAGGTATCAGGCCAACTAAAAAAAAATAGAGTAGAATGTTTACATTTCGTGTGGAACTGCCACGGTGTACAGAAGCTTAAAACCATGACACGTGCAATGACTTCTGTAGGCCCTTGTTTGACGTGGGACTGGAGTTCTCCGCCTCCACCGTCAGTAACGCCGTGCCCTCTGGGCGGGCTGGCCAGCACTTTTGGGAACCAGGTCTGTTCTTCCTTTGCAGAAAGGCGGTGCCCTGTTCAACTCGGCAATGACCAGAGCAACGCCCGCCGTCCGGACGGCGTACAAATTCGTGAGTTTTCATTTGATGTTTAAAAAGTCTATGATAAAACGTCACTACATTTCCCTAGCTAGTGGACAGGAAGTCTGGAATGTTTTCTGTTTTTCTTTTCGAGACAGTTAGTGGGTCTGGGGTTAGGGTCCGGTTTATGAAGTTTTCAACTTTCACGGTGAAAGAGCATGTGGCTGCCGTGCGCAGAATCAAACTAACGTCCAGTCACGTTGCTTGTGTTTTTATTCGAGGCTCTGGGACAGGTGCCCTTCGTTGCCCTCCTTGACCAGATATCAAAGTTTTTCTTCGTGCCCAGGGAGGTTCTATTGTGTTATTTTGCTAAATACATGTTTTCCTCCTTAGCTTCGCCCACACCTTCCCCGCGAGCACAGAGACGAAACCTCGTTTGGTGTTAAATTGCTGTCCTTCCCCTGAGTGGGGTGTTGCATGTTGAATGGTCGAGATGGTGACCAGCCGTGTCCCCGACCGAGACCTGTGCCCTCACTCCCCTGTGCGAGTTTCCTGTGCCGGCAGGGACCACGCGGCAAAGTGCAGCCACAGCCACGGCAAAGCGAACACACTCTCGATCGGGCTGGCAGGTCTCCCGAGTCACCTTCTTTCTGGAGCCTGTGCATTTTACCCAATTAGCCAAAGCCACGTGGCAGGGGCTTTCTGTAGAGAATACTTACGGGAGGGTGAGCGTCCGCTGGGTACATTGAAAAGCGTGGGGAGACCTGAGCCCGTGTCCCAGAGAGTCTGGAAGAGGCCGGGGCAGGAAGCGAGGCGGGGGACCTTCAAAAGAGCCAGCCCCTGAGGCGACAGAACTATCACCGATACGCAGTTCAGCCTTGCACACTGCAGAGCATCGAAAAAAAATTAGCGCGAATCAGGTGGATTGTGAAAGAACAGAGGACATTTAAGTAAACTAGATTGTAGTCCAGATGGGCACAAATTCAAAGAGATGGGGAAAGGAATATATGTATATTTGGGTGATTACTCATTTTTACCTAATAAGTGTGTAGTAGTTAACACAGGATCCTTGAAGTACATTTGGTGGCTTGACCAACAAAATAATGTGAAAGTGCTTTCTGGATTCTGAGGAACCGTGGAATTGTAACTTAGGGTTGTCTGGCCTTGAGGTTTTCTCTTTTTGTGTGCGATGTTTTCGTTTTGCCTCATTTACAACAGAGAAGTAACTGTCTCATTCAGCTGAGGACACCTCTCCAGCAGTTACCGCAGGTCAGATACTCGACTGGGCCGTGCAGGTACTGACTGTTGAAGGGGAGATTCAACAAGTAAAGTTAAAGATCAAGTTGAATTTTCTCAAAACAGCTCGTGCATCGAGCGAGGGGCATTCCATCCACCCGACAGAAAGGGTCTCTGGGAAGCTGTGCAGAATGGAGGGATTTTGTAGACAGAAGGGGACAGGGAGGCGGAAACAGCAGGTGACCTCATCTTTCTTTGGGGGGACGGACGGGGCTGTCGGTTGGTCCCTCATGACCACTGACTGGGAAGTTCCAGGTCCACTGATTTGAGACCACATTCCTGGGAGGGGCTGGACCTACAATTAGGTGAAGGAGGACGTCTTGGTCGGTGACAAGTGACTCCATTTGGGGCCCGGCGTCCCCTTTTTTAACAGGGAAGAAGTCAGGGTCTCCCCCTCACTGAGCTCGGGGACACGTGTGTTAACTCCTCTGAGCGGGGACCTGGGAAGTCAGGGCACTTCGGGGGAAGAAGCGAGGGCTTGGGGTCGGGAAGCCTCGTGTCTGCCCGACCTGAGTTTCCAGGTCTCTTCCTTTGTGAGGCTGCGATCCCAAGACTATGTTTTTAAAAACCGTAGTTCGCTCTTCTCCTCGGAGAAGGGAAGAAGTGGGACTTAGAATTTCCCTGAACCGGGTTTGAGTCCCCTTCCCTATTCGTAGATGCAATAGTAACCGTGCCAACCTCACAGACGGAGTTGCTGTGATAGTTAATGAACGTGATAACTCGGGCTGGGTCCCCAGCACCCTGGCCAGGAACTGCGGAAGCAGAAAACAAGCACCGATTTGTGTTCGCTGTCATTCTGGCCACTGCGTGGGACTTTCTAGAGGAACAAAGTCCAAGGCTCTCATGAGGACCCCATTGTTCTCAGCTGCACCTGCGGGGACCCCAGCAGGACCTGTGGGGCTCCGTGCCCTGGCCAGACCCCCTGCAGACCCAAGGGTAGTCGCTAAGTTGTTAAAGATGTTTAATTTTTGCCAGAAAACGTGTACAAGACATAGGTTGAGCATTAAGAGCTCTGCGGACAAACTGTGGTTACAGCCCAGGCATGTGCCCAGGCGGCCGCCCCCGTGATGCGCCTTTTCTGCTTCTCCCATTTAGACGCCGTTTCAGGGGAAGACCGTGTTGGTGATCTGGTCGGCTCCCGTTTTTGTACAGTGTAGGCAGCAAAACAGTCTAACCCTTAGCCTTTGTGTGGGGTGTGCATGCCAGCAGAGACTGTTTTCGCCAGCTAATCTAGGTACAGTGGTCAGGGGAGTGGAGTCCCTGGAAGGACAGCTCTGTAGTGAAGTCCGCTCTTCTCCCGGATGGCGGAAGGGTTAACAGTTTTCCTCCAGCGAGGCCGCGTGTCCGTGCCGGTCGGTGGTGGCGAGGGAAGCACAAGGAGCCTGACGCTGTGTTCTCTCATCCCCCAGGCGAAAAGCCAGGCCAAGCAGGGCATCCGGGAGGTGAAGAGCAAGCTGAAGCACAAGGTGAGGTGTGCCCCGCCCCGAGTCACTTGGCCCCGCGTCAAGCTTATGTCGGGGGTGGGGTGCGGTCGGGGGAGCGTGCACCTCACAGATCCCAGGAGAGGGGGTTTTAGTGCCTTCCGGAGTCGGTGTCGGCCCCTGTTCAGGAACGTGTTTCCCGTGACGAGCCCTCTGGCCACTCCCCACCGTTCTGTGCGCACCCACCAAACAGGCGCTCATTCGCTTAGTTCATCTCCGAGCGACCAGGACCCTGAAAGGTGCTTTATCAGGAGCTGGTCCCCACCAGGCTGACCGCCGTGGCGTCACGGTCGAAAGTCCTGCTTCAGGCGGATAGTGGTTTTTTTTTTAAGATGATTTTTGGTGCAGAATTACACTGTGTGTGCCATCATTTGCTTTTATAGGACTTTTCCAATAGCAGCTACTTTAACCACGTTTTTATTTTTTATTTAATTTATTTTTTTATCCTGAGGACATGCTTATTGACTTTAGAGAGGGAGGGAGGGAGGGAGGGAGGGAGAAATCAATGCGAGACCAAAACATTGCTCCGCTGCCTCCCACACACCCTCACCGGGGACCACACCTGCAACCCAGACACCCTACCCTGGCCGGGAATGGAACCCTCGACCTGCCAGTCACGGTGTGACATGCCAACCAACTGAGCCACCCTGGCCAGGGTTAAACCAAGCAGGTTTCATTTATAAACATTTGTGCTTGAGGGTGTGTATTTGAATCTATGAATATTGCATGCCTATGAATATTTATGCATTTGGTTTGTTTACATTACATCTTGGCACATTTTATCAGTTATGTTTTGAAATTTAACCTTTGGAGAAAACAATACTAGTGAACACTTTCTTGCAGTGATAGAGAATAAATGTTCTTCATAGGACTTTTACTTAAATTATTCAAAGTAGGGATTGTTTTGGAAATTATTAACTCATAACATAGAAAAATGCGGGAAGGCCTGTTCTGCTAAACGGGATCTTCACGCCCCCCCCACGTGCTGTGCGGTCATCTGCATCCGTGTCGGCCACGGTGCTGACCCACTAAAGAACCTTCGTGGTCGTCCGAGCAGGACTCTAAAGCGAGTGCTCGCGTGTTCCCTCGCCGGCAGGAGAGCGAGGACGGTTTCGGGACCTGCTCCGGCTGGGGCGTGCAGTACACGCCGGTCTACACGCTACACGGCGAGAAGGCGGCGAACCCGGAGAAGCGCAGGCTCACCCAGGTACAGCGCCCCGCCCTCTCGGCCCAGCCCTGATCCCAGGGACTCTCCGGGCACAGGCGCGGCCCGGTACCGCCCCACTGCATCCCACGCAGGCCTGCAGTCACGGTGAAGGAGATGAGCGGGTCGCCCCTGGGCAGCCTCAGGGGCAGGGGGACAGACATCCCGGCAGCAGGTCCCCGGGCTTCCTGACGTCCTCACAGTGACCACACTCCCGTGAGCTGGGGACAGTTCGCCGTGGGGTCACCGACACAGGTCAAGTGAGACTTGTAAACACAGAGGGCTTCGACCACTGAAATCATCTGTAGAAACTAGAGTATGAAGTTATAAATACCTATCTTGTTCCAGAGACACAGATTTTGTTTGCTACGAATATTTAAAAACTCTGCTTGCATGCCGATGCTTCTTAAAATATTGTCCTAAAGCAGGACATGCTCACGGCCGTAGCTCCGCGTGTCCGACTGTGCGTCCTGAGGACGTGTCTGAGGGTGCGTTTACCGCGGGGAACAGGTCTGTACGTGAAGAAAACGTGCCCTTTCTGCACCTGCCACTCCAGGTGTAGTCAGATTGAGGTCTGAGCTCATTAAGATGTTTAATGAAATATGTAAGCATTTCTGGGGGTGGTTAGAGGTAGTTAAAGGCAGAATCTAGATGTCAGTAAAGTACATTGGAGACATTAAGGCTTATTTATTCATTCATGGCCTACCTTTTTTTCCCAAATAAGCACCTTATAAAGAATCATAGAAAAAAAGATTAAAGTTCATTTAATTTAGATCAAGGCAGAGAGGAGATAAGGCTCGTAAGGAGCTAAGATCTATTCCCCGGATTCATGGCCACAGAGGAGAGGAGAGCCCACTCCTATGAACCATAAAGCACAAGATTTCTTTCTAAAAAGTGGTTCAGCAGGTGCACAAGCACTGTGGGCCCTTGGGGGGGGTACTTGCTAGAGGCGGGGTCACTCTCGGGGGCGGGTGGAGAGGTTGCCTCTCTTCGAGTGGTCTTTTCTCTACCGTCTACGATGCCCAGGCCTCATTTCCTGGCTGCGGTGTGTGCGTTCACATGGCACTTGAACTCAGCCGCTCTGCCTTGGACCACACTCTCCTGGGAAGCCCACTGAGCACCAGGGGCTTCAGGCCCTCGCGTTAGCACTGGCTGCCGGGGGGTCTGCGTGGGGAAGGACCGCATTCTGCCCCACCTGCTGCTGGGTCATCCCAGTGACTGGACTCCCCAACAAGACTGGCCATGTGTCCACGTCCTTACCGGAAGGCGAGATTCCATGGGACCCGCCGGCTTTGGCGATCCGGATAATTTTTGATGTTGTCGCTGCTACTTTGCACGCCTGGATTCTGTAGGGTTGAAATAAGGCCCACGTTCAGGGGAGCAGCCTCGGGAAGCAGGAGGAGGGGCTGTTGCTGGAGGAACAGGGAAGCTGGGGGGGTGTGCGCATCTCATGATTCATGTAGAATCCCCAGCCGTCCACCGGTGCAGGCACCATCACCCCCACGGGGCCGACTTCGAGACAGGGAAGCAGAGGGCTCAGACCTGTGTGGCCTCCCTGCGGGTCATAAACAGACAGTGGGGTTTGGTTGGAGGGCAGACTCTGCTCTCCGGCCTTGGCCTTGGGTGCGGCGGGGGGGGGGGGGCAGTTAGAGGCAAGGGTGTGGAGTTCACAGCTAGACCGACCGGACTGTGAAAAAGGTCCTGGCACCGGGCACTGAGCAAAGCCCAGCACCCTGAGCCTTCCCTCCTGCCCGTGTGAACTGGGATAAAGGTGTCTGTCATGCCCTGGCAGGCGCAGGTAGACCGGTAACACACGGGCACACGAGGTGCCTGCCTGCCACGCCCCGGCCCCTCACGCGGCAGCTCTCCCTGCACATGCAGACGCAGGCCTCACGCGTGCGGGGCAGCGCGGCACCTGGCTTCTCTGAGCAGCTGCCTCCTGGCTTGCGGCACTCCTCCGGTCACCAAAACAGCAGGGACCCCGATGTCGTCTGTTTCCAGTGCAGCGGGAATGACTTTAAGATCCCAGCTTATGGTTTGAAAAGGAATATACAGTTCTCGTACCAAGAAATGTCTGGGTTTGTTAGACCCCAAGCGTGTTATTTCACTGTCAGAAAAACTCCCGAAACGCAGAGCGTGGACTCGACTCACCCCGTGTGCCTGTCCATGTGGGAACTTGACCTCAGTGACCTCACGAGCTTTACATGTTCACTGTCCAGCCAGCTTTGTGCAAATGCAACCCTTTATTTTCATCTGGTTTGCGAAAGAGATAAATGAGACCGTGGTCCTTTATATGCCAAGAACGCATCTGAGAGAGAGAAAAGCAGGTGTCCCATCCCGAGTCCTGCCGAAAAGACCGGATGCCGCAGCCGCAGGTTGCTTGCAGGCTGAGCTGCTCTCTGGAGCCGACTGTGAGTCTCCACTCACCAGCCAACGGTCGTGACGTGTGTCGGCCCGCTAATTAGTACGGCTCTTCCCCACTTTGTGGATGAGGCTTAAGTAAATGTCAAGGGCGCAGCCTGGAAGAATGCCCAATTAGGCTTCCCATTTGTACATCCGGGCCCTTTTCCTCTTTGTGGAAGAGGCAGGGGCAGCCGCCGGGCAGCCTAACAGGGCCCCAGGGAGCGCGTCCCGGGTGTTACAGGGAACAGGGCCGGGGGCCGGGGAGGATCCCAGCTGCAGAGCGCCTTCATCTTGCCTGCACACTCACCTCCCCTCTTCCGGGTCCTGTCCGAGCAAAGCGCTGCCGGCTCCGGGAGCAGCGTTTAGACCAAGTCTGTCTGTCCTCTGCGGTGGTGTTTTGAACGAGTCTGCATTGGGAGAAATTTAGTGGCCTTTCCTAAGGTTGAGAAGTTCCCTGAAATAACGGGTCAGATTTCTGTGAGTCTCAAGATGCTGCTCCATTTCTGATCTCGTTGACCGTCCTCAGTCTGATAACAATGTGCGTGTGCCTGCTTCTCGCACACACACACATTGCGCACACACAGCAGCCAGACCGGGGGACCGCCGCAGCCTGGCTGGACCCCACGTCAACATGAACAGATGGATGGCCCGGAGCAGGCCCAGCACCACGCCCGGTCTAGTGGCGGCTGCGGGGAAGGGTGCTTTGTTGTGGAGTCCGAGGAAAACCCTGGCACACAGCCCTCTTAACTCCTTCACGTCTGGGCCAGGTCCCACTCCACTCAGAAGTATTTCCCACATACCCAGGTCAGATTGTACCAAAGCTGCCTGAAAAATATGCATGAAAGGTTATTTTTCCGCTTGGAAGGTAGTCAAGACTTGCCCCCAGCCATAGTGTTTACAGATAGAAATATGTCTAATGGCCATGTTTTCTGCTAATGACACCAAGTGCCATTAAACTCACGGCCATTTATTCTATTTTTAAGTATATTCACAGAGAGACTAACAGCTTGAGATAGGAACAGTTATCTTTGGGTGCATGAACAGGGAAGATGTGTCTGCCCTATGAAATACCAGCTACGCAATGTTTCATTTTTTACCCATTATATAAGGGGATGTGTGCACTTCAAAGGGACCTTTGCTATCTTTTTGAGTCCCGTGTATTTATTGGTTTATAAATCACGCTAATGGATCGGTGCACTAGAGCACAGCAGCAGCAAGCCCATTTTATAATTGATGAGGGACGTCATTTCGTGTCGGAAGAATGTGCTCAGAAGTTGCGTATCCTTTCTGCTACGTGAAGACTCGCGAGTCAGGCTTCTCAAAGCCGCATTCTGGTCCCACGGAAACGGACCAGAAATCCCAAAGCTTTTAAAAACATAAGCAATCACATGATGCCCTTGGTATTTTAAAACGCTCCAAATGAAATGCAATTCCTTGTGAAACGAAGGATAAAACGACAAAAACTTGGACTCTCTAAATGATCCCGTCCAAAGCACGGCATGCAGGGGCGTGGCCGGCGCTTGGTCATTACGACGCACTCCCCAGAGGGGCACGTCAGTGGACTCTGGGAATGAAACGAATGTAATTAAAGATGGTGCTTCTTGCTCAGGCAACACAACAGCCTTTGGAAAGCGACCCACTTGGGCTCTTCGAGCAAACACAGTGCGTTGCGTAGCTTTGCTGTATTGGTCAAGAAAGAGATGGCGTGGTGATTGGCTGGCGGAGGGAGGTGGCCAGTGGCTCCTTCAGACCCAGAAAAGGTGACCGCGAGTCAGGGTGAGAAAGCGCCAGGTGAGCGGTGGGAGGGGCTGTGTGTGTGAAGGAGATGCCCCAGGTAACTGGAAAAGGAGACTTGCAGTAGATTGTGCAAAATAATAAAAACCAGTTTCATCAAAGCATGATAAACAAACAAGCCCAGTAAAAATTTTTTAGCCATTTGACTCAGAATTGAGAATACTATTATGATGATCAAGCTAAAATGTTGAATTAAAGTAGTAAGGAAATTTATTGGAAAGTTAGACATGATAAATATTTTTCATGTCCTAAGTGAATATGTTTCCATGTAAAGATACCCACAGGGAACGCTGCCTAAATGCAAACACATTTTCTCAGTCTGTTCGAATTTCACTCTTTCCTGTGGTATATATATATTTAGCCTAATTTATACTAATGCCACTGATTTTTAAAATTCATCTTTTAAACCCTGCTTCAAAAATATGGGTACCATATTGGTCATTTTAAAGGAAGTTATTTTTTTCTTTTTATTTTGTTGAAATAATATTAATTTCCAAAACGTCAAATACTGATTATAGGTCAGTCTGTGCCCCTCAGCCCCAGCCCCCCAAATTCTGTTACGGAGTGCAAGGGCGCCCTCTAGTGGACGCTGCACCCTACTTCTGCCCTTGAAGGACGATCATCACACCAGACAAAATTCCTAACAGTAACATTTACCTTTCAGAAACGCAATGGAGTGCACATTGAGGCATTTATGTTGTCACAAAATTGTCCAAGGACATTATTCTTTCAAAGAAAGAATTTGAAACCTGCTCCTTTTAGTCAGTGGCCGGCTTCAATTTTAAAGTGTTTAGCTCAGCTGAATAATATTTGGCGTATTTAAAAGACGTAACAGAAGACAGTCTTGCTTATGGGAACATGTTCAGTGTATGTTGTGAGGTATTTTTAGGTTGAAATGTGCCTTTTCAGTGTTATGGTTTTATTCTTCGGATTTATGACCACAAATGGCCGTGTCCTTTATTGCAAAGTCTTGAAACAAAACCAGAGGCTCTCGGTTTTTCCATTTAGTAAATACAATGGATGTTGCCGTTCCCGACTTTACATCAGTAGTCCCGTCACTACAGCTTTTCCTTGCTATTTTGTTTCACCTCAGGAGACTTTCCCCGTTAACTCTAATTATTCTAGGGGCTTTGGGTGACCTGGCAAGCAGGTCTGTATTCCAGAAGTGCCCAGTGTTCACAGACAAATTCTTACGCTTCTCCCAGACATCCTTGGGTGCCGAAATGATGCTCTGTCTTCATGTTCTGTGTATGGACCTGCTTTTAAGTTTGGTCAGAGAGCAGTGTTGGTGTGGATGAAAGGAATTGCATGTGTTTTCTTTGTGACGTTGCTGCTGCCGCCTCATGGTCCCTGAAGACAGAGACATTGCCAGGAGGGTCAATAGATACACAGCTGCCAGCCTCTTATGATGGCTGGAACCGGACCGCCGTCTCCTACACGTTGCCGCGCTGCCTGGCGCAGAGCAGAAATATCAGAATAGCGTGTGAAGACTGGGAGTGAGCCTGTGCCCTCACACCCATTTACGTTGTTAATTTTTTTTAACATTGAAGTGTGACACTGGTCTTTCCCCACTAGTCTGTTTCCTCTCTGCCTTCGTGAATGTCTCTGACATTCAGTGAGATAACGCTCGAAACCAACGTGCGAGGGCAGTTTCTGTTAAGATTCTTGCTGGATTCAATACACTATTTAAGACTCTCTCCGCACACACATTTATGGTTATTATACAGGGTCCAGCACACATAACAGCCCTGTTTTATTGCATAAAAATCTTTGATTGCAAAATCATCAGCCCGTAAATCTGTATCAGAACAATCTCACCCTCACGCACCAGATGACATTGTAGGTGACGTGTTCAAACTGCCGCCCATCTCGTGTGAGGCGTTCACGGGCCCTGCCAGCCACACTCAGTGCTCTTACTTCTGCAGGACCCTGTGGGCACGAACGGGGTAATCGTCAAAATAAAACCCAGCTGTAATTATTTTCCACAATCGATATTTTGCTCATTAGTTATGCACCCTTGGCAAACACAGTGGAATCTGATCCTGTTAGTCAGTGCCGACTCTCTGCGGAGGGGTTGGTCCCTGCGGAATTCAGCTCCCTCCCAGGCTGGAGAAAAGCCGTGGCTGTGTTTCTGAGATTACTGAGTCTTTTATCATCCCCGGGAAGGGAGTTGACATTCCTCCACAGCTTTTTTGCATTCTAAATGGAAGTGGAGTTAGAAGCAAAGTGGATTAAAAGATAGGATTCTTGGTCTCAAGGACTTGCTAAGACAGGAATGCACTGAAAAGGAAACAGTGCCCTTCTCGGGAGCATCAGGGGAGCCCCCGGTGGCCAGCAGTAAAGTCAGGAATGCTCGGGGGGAGGACGAGACCCCTCGGCCTGGGAGGACGGGCCCAGGGGCCTTGGCGGGTCCTGGACCACTTCAAACTCATCTGACACTTAGCTTCAGAATCCTGCCAGCGACTCTGACAGGGCACCAGTTTTCGGTATCTTTGGAGAAGTGAACTCACATGTTGTCCCTTCACCCTGCCGTTTGCCCTCATTGTCTGTCACTCCAGATCATTCTGTGACGACCACCTGCTTTAAAAACGAGGCTAAAACGTGCCACTTGGAGAAAGTCTTTCTCGGGCCGATTCTCAGACTTCTGGGGACTTGCTTATCTGATGCGATTGTAACGACAAGAGTTCCTGACACCTGGGTTAGAGTCCCTGCCCTGGGAGAACTTTCTCATCTGGCCCAAGACGCTTTCTTCATTAAGCTTTGAGTTCCCTACTTGGTAAAAAGTTGGAAACATTCACCAAAATTTGTTGGTACGTCCCCGGACTCTGTGCTCCCGTCCCGCCTCCAAAAATGACATCACACTTTTAAAGCTCTTTCCTGATCTCGAACCACACGCATCTTTAAAGTGTCGCCGTTAGAATTCTGCATGGTAGAGCTTTTAAATCTATCCTCGTATCATTTCATGCAAACACTTTTATTTTTGCCGAAGCCTCAAAAAGGCACATACTCCGGGGTTCATGCTGGGCTTCGCATCTGCCGAGTCACATGGGGGCCCTCAGTTACTCCAACTCTGAAGGGGGCAGTAGTGCAGAGGGTGCCCGCTTTCGAAAAATCACACCAGCATCTTCACTCTGTGAAGTCTGAAAATGACACTTGCCCATTCCTCTGCCTGTGTCCTGTATTTCCCCCCAAGGCCCCTGGAGTCTGAAGCTACCCAGCCGTTGGCCTTGCTGGGGTCTGTCTGCCATCTAGTGACCGAAGCAGGAACTGCGGGAGGAATGGTCTCCTCTGGGGGCTCATTCTCACTGGCCACTGTCTCATCCCATGAAGAGGAAGGAAACGTCTAACTCATTGTAGCTAAACCAGGCACTGAGTTTGATGGTTCTGTGGCTCGGGCCTTCTGCCCACATTAAAGAATAATTTTATATTGGGGGGTAGACTGATAACGTCCTTATTTTACTTTGCCCATCAGCCAATGAGAGAACCAGCAAGATGATAAAATTCAGGCACATGGGCGGTCAGGGTTACGGAAATGTACATGCCGACAGGTACCCAGACCGTCGGTCAGCCCTGCGGACACCCCGGAGATGGCATTGCCATCTATTAAGGCTCCCTAAACACTGGAGGTCGTGAGAAACAATGTTACTTACAATCTTGCATCTTGTGGCCAAAAGCTGTAGAAAGCTGGCTGTTGTTGAATAAGCACACTGATCAGGAAGCAGAGAAAACAGCCTTTCCCCCTTTTTTCGTCAACACTTGTGGGAAAAGCTATGTACATTTCATGATACAGAAGTGAGAAAAGCGCTAGTAACAGCGCAAGACAAGTACCGAGTCGGCGAGAGGCGGGCGTCCCTGGGGCATCGGCTCAGTTTCGGGTGTGTGGACGGCGTCACACCGTTTAACAGGACTCTGAGAAAATATTTACAGGTTTTGTTTTGTTTTCCTGGAAGAACAGCTTATTTTTTTCTTTGTCTCGGGTTTTTCCCCAGCATGTTGTCTGCTTGTAGCGCATCTCTTCATCTCTTTCATAGTCACTCTTTTAAGAAAATCGTCTGTCCCCAAGCACAGACCCTATCACGCCCGCCCTGGTGCCTGTTCCAGGGAGTGGTTGTCAGTCACTCGTGACAGACGGGTGACGGACAGACGTGTTTACTGACGCTCAGAAACTCCCCGGCGTGCACTCGTTGCAGTGAGATTTCTGTCCGGACCCAAGCGGAGCGTGTTTTTCCTGAACACACACCATGCACCATGCCTGGGTTCCGCTGTGTTTGTTACTTGGGAAAATGAGAGGGTCTGCACCCCTTCCCCAAATCGTCTGAAACGGTGTCTGTAGTTTTATTTGTGTTGCACGTGCTGAGATGATTCTTCTCTTCTATGGCCATGTTTAGTTCAGCCTCTGCCTCATTTGGCCGCAGGCTCCCAGTCCTGCCGGGTTTGTGACCCGAGACCCCCGATGGACAGGTGCTGGGATGGACTCTGTGTCCCCCTCCCCGAAGGACACACACGCGTCGTCTGCGGTCTGAGTGCGTTTGCTAGCCATAGCCCAGAGAGACTTCCGTTTCCAGATGGGTGACCAGTTCTGTTTGCCCTGAGTCGCACGTTCTGGGCACGGTGGGAGCCACCCTTTATTTGCCCGGAAAGCCGTGCGCCTGGGTCCCGGTGCCTCCGAAACAGTAACGCGGGGCGAGCAGGTTCACACAAGCTGGGACGCTTCATTACATAAGCTGCCATTTCCCCCTCTCTCTTGAATGTGGGTCCCATCGATGGCAGGTCACGCACTCCTAAACCAGGGCCTGACGCTTGTGTACATGCAGGTTCAGTCCTGGGCTGTAGTTTTGGTTCATGACTTTGCAGTCAAATAAATGTTGAGACCAGCCACTCCGATTCCCTCCCTTCTTCCTGCCCAGCTTGTCAAGTTATTGGGCAACACTCAAACCCCCTGAATAGGGACCGCTCTTCAAAGTCTTCCTGGTCAAATCAAATGGTCCCTGTAAACGCTGTGAGGGAGACTCACGTTATCACGAACGCCAATCCGTTGCCCTTCTTCCCGCAGGCACGCATGAGGAGGCCCCGTGAGAGCCTCGACGGCTCGGTATGTGGTGACGAGGACGAGGACACGGATCGGGCCAGCAAGTCAGTACCGGGTCCTGAGGCGCTCCTGAGTGGGGGGAACTGGGGGGTGGGCTTCGTGCAGACGCGGGGTGGGGGTGGCAAGGGACGGTTCAGGGCGTGCCCTGCGGATCAGATCCCACCCTTGTACCAACCTTCGCCACTAGGGGCCGTGCTCCTGGGCTGGGGGGAATCTTGAGACAGGACAGGACGCTGGACCTGACCCCTCCTGTCCTTGGGCAGCAGTCGGAACCACAGAACGTGTACGAGGTGGTGGAAGGGGCACAGACAGACCCCCCCCCAAGTTAGACCCCTGCCCTCCCCCAGAAGGGGCAGGTCCCGTCTCAGGGGCCTGCACAGGCCGTTGAGACAGACGGAGGTGGGACGGGGAGAGACCGGAGTCTCTGCGCTGTCAGAGAGGAAAGCTTAACGCAAAGTGTTAAAGAGGAATTTTATTATAAGACAGGAATTAACAACAGTGTATGTTTAACTTCTTAACAATTTTAAGGTGCACAGCAATGACACACGTTGTTCTTCTTATTAAATACATCTGCGTGTGTAAGGGGATGTGCATTGTTCTCTAAGCTAAGTGAATAAAGATGGGCAAGGAAAACCATATAAAAATCGTGGAAGTGACCTTGACCGTAGCCAGGGTTCCGTCTCCTGTATCCCAAGCGAAAGCCCCCAACCTCAGAGGCTCAGGCGGCCTGAAGGCCCTGCCTCTGCCTCCCCACGGATTCAGGCGCCGTGGCCTCAGCATCTGTTTAAGTGGGGAGCAGACGGCACGGTTTCCAGCAGTGAGTGGGCAGGATGTCACCGTGAGCGACTGGTCCGCGGACCCAGTCACCCGCCTTCGTGTGGTGCCACGGAAATAGCGCTTTAACGGAGTGGGGTGCACTGTGTGCGCGCGGCGGGTGCAATCGCACAGCCGCCAGCGTGTGTCCCGTGTCCTCTCCTGTCCCTCAGGCTGTCCTCGGAGGACGGCGAGGAGGCGCCCGCGGACTTCTACGCGAGCGATGACTCCCTGGAGGCGCACGCGCGGACGGCCTGCCCGGGCGAGATGGACCTGCTGGGGGAAATCCTGGACACGCTGAGCACCCACAGCTCCGACCAGGGGAAGCTGGCGGCCGCCAAGAGCTTGGACTTCTTCCGGTCCATGGACAACATCGACTACAAGGCCACGGTGCGTGCGCCCCCGCCCGCACGGCGGTGGTCGCCCACGGGCGCCCGTGTCACTGTCTTAGTTTGTGGGACTGTTGAACCTCTAACAGGAAGGCGTCAGGACCTCAACACTATGATGAAATTTAATCACTAAGAAGTATTTCTTATAACAAAATTCCAGGGTTCCCCCCTTCTATTTACCCAGTTCTGCTAGTGATGGTCATGAATTGGAATTTTTGGGGCCAGTCTCCTTTTCTGACAATCTGATTTTATAGATGTCTTCTCTGTGGGGTTTTTGAGACGTGAAATGTCCCCACTTTCCCCCCAATATTTCCTTGATCGTAAAAAATTTCTAAGGTACGAGCGCAAGTCATTTTGTGCTGTGTTGCCTCAAAAGTTGGCGGCGGCATTGAACCGAGGGCTTTAAAAACAGTAAAGACAGAACTGTGATCGTCGGGAATTCCACAGCTCGGTCTTGATTAGTACCCCAGGAGCCTGTTTGATTTTTGTGGAGGTTTGTTTTATTTTTGGTAAATCCTTTTCATTTCACTTCATTTCTAGCTTCACAGAAGAATAATTCACAAATGAAAACTGCTTGTAGGTCCTGGATGCATTTCACCTTGTGGTGGCCACGCTCACACGTGTTAGCACGTCCATCACCTAACGGAGTGGCCATTTCCTTTTTCTCTTTTTCGTTTTTGTTTTTTTTTTGGAGATCAGAGCAGTTTAGATTTACCCTTTAAGTGATGTTCAAGTTAAGTGTCCTTACCCAACCATGGTCACCACGGTCAGACCTGCGGAAGAGGTTCCCGTGCGTGACTGCAACTCCGTGCCTGTGGGTTGGTGTCCCCCGGTTTCTCCTGCACCGCCCCCAGCCCCACCACCCCGACGGCCCCCGCATGTCCCTGCTGCCCCCAGCACTCCCCTTCAAATTCCACGGGCAGGTCAGACCGTGCAGCCCTGGTTGTCCACGTCTGGCTTCTCGCACTTATTCCAGGTTTTTCCGCATTGTCACACAGCAGAGTTTCCCTCTCTGTCAGGCTAAGTGACAGTCGGTCACGTTTCTCCGCCATGCTTTCTTTGTCTGCCTGTGTGTCGGGGACAGGTGGGCTGCCTCGGTGGCCGCAGCGAGCGAGGGGCCCCCGCTGCACCTTCAGGCTGGTGGTTCCCTTTCCTGTGGGCCCAGACCCAGAACTGCCGTCCCTGCCTCAGCGGGCAGCTCCGTGGCTCGTGTTTCCAGGACCCCCGACACCGAGCCCCGTGGGGGGTTCCCTAGCACACCGCCACGCACAGGGCAGCAGGCTCCCTTTCGGCAGAGCCCCGCCTGCACCGCAGGGTGGCCTGCCTGTCGCAGGGGACCGTCCCTAGGGCGAGGGGGCCAGGTGGTCGCGTCTCACCGCCGGTGAGGAGTCCACCCTCAGCTCCGCGTCTGCCCTGGAAGGGACTTCCCCTCCCAGCCTTGAAGACCCCAACACTGATTTCAAGTTGTAAAAAAAAGCTGCTAAAGTCATGCCACGATTTCATTTAAACTTTCTGAACGTGTTGTTTCCTTTTCCAGAATAAATCCAACGCCCCGAGCGAGAATAATTTGGCCCTGCTCGATGGGGGACACGGGGACCAAACCGAGTGGCACCTGGGGCAAGATGACAGCGCCCTGCACGGCAGACACCTCCCCCCGTCCCCCAGGAAGCGCGCCTCCTCCGGCGTCCGGACAGAGTCGCTGTTCATGCTGACGGAGGAGAGCAGGGACAAGCCGCTCCGAGCGGCCCCCGAGGGCTGGCCCGCGGTGGCGGGACAGGCGGCCCCCGCTGCAGAACGGGACTCCCAGTGGGCGCCTCCCACCGAGTCCCCGACCGGGGAAGAGGAACCAGAAGACACGGAAGTGCCACACCAGACCTCGGAGGACCCGCTGGTGCCCGGCCTCGGGCGACACCCGTCCACTTCCGTCCCTTGGGAGAAAGAAGGGAGAGAAGCCCAAGAGGCCGCGGAAGGCCTCGGGCTGCTCCGCGAGGTCGGCTCTCTGTGTCGCGTGAGCTCCCCCTTCCGCTGTGACTTAACCGTCTCGGAAGAGAACACAAGTGGACACCAAGCTTAAGGCAGCAGTGGAGAGTCGGCCTCTTGCGCCCAAGCTTCTTGGGAGACACTTCAGGGTTCCCTGCAGTCGAGACAGTAAACAGTCATTTGTCAGGAGGACAACCCTTGCTACTGCCCAAAACTGAGTTGCACTTGGAGCAAACGCATGGCGCTCGGGGGCGTATGTATTGCCCACTGAACTTTTAAGTGTAAAGCCTATTCTGCTGTGCCCTTAAATCAGGTACCGGGTGTGTGTGGAGCGCGTCTGTGGACGTGTGGTTGCTCAGTGTTGGTGCTGAACGCCGTTCATTTCATTTAAACCGAGTGTGTGACCGTGAACGGCCCGCGCGCACGACCAGTCGCTCTAGGCTGGTCTGGTTGAGCGTGAACTGACCAAGATTTCAAAACTGAACAGAGCTACCCTTGAAATGCTGAGACTCTTGACCCACTAACTGCCTTAATCTTATGCCTGTGCTAAGCAAACTGAAATAACTTAGGGAGTTACTTGTAAGTTCTCACAGGTACGTGAACGTGTCCTGCAGACAGGTACCGCCTTTTCTGGTCACTGAGTCAGGGACAGAATTCATCCTGCTGTTCCCGTGAGAACACTTTTGTTCGGACAGCGCCGCCCTGCTTTCCGGGAAGCACGCTGGTCCACGGCTTTCCTCGGGGACCTGCTGGTGACTGCGTGACATTAATGACGCCGGGTCGCCTGGGGCTCGCACTGTTTTCCCTGCTCTCGCTGGAGTCCACCCCCAGGAAGCCAAATGCCACGTAAACTGTCCTGATTTAAAACAGAAACAAAAGCAAAACAACAAAAACCCTTGGAATCCTTTTCTCTCCACCGGTAATTATCAAAATTGCCTATATCATCTCAAATTCACTTTTGAAGTGATCGACTTCATTTGTGGGGAGTTTCAGACCCACAGGAAGCCTGTGACGAGAGACCAGCAGGCTCCCGTGTGGCCCCGCCCACGCCGTCCCCCGGCCAGGTCCCAGTTCCATTGCCGCGCGTGCTAAGCGGTGAGGCAGTATTGAGGGCCCACCCTGCTTTCACATTTCCTCGATTTCCCCCTACGGCCTGTTCCAGGGTCCCATCCAGGAGACCCCACAACTCTCGGGTGTCATCTCTTCCTTGACATGCCTTGGCTGCGATAGTCACTTGGACTTGCCTTGCTGGTCAGCCTTGGCGGTTGTGAAGCGTGCCAGTCAGAGCGATGGCTGGAGGCCCCTGTGGTCCCTTGTTGGGTATTTTTCTTGTGATCACACTGGGACCGTGGGTTCCAGGGAGGAAGATCCCCGAGGGACAGAGGTACTTTCGTCATGTCACCCAGAGGGCATGTCCCGTCCATGCAGTGTGTGATTGCTGATGTTGACCTTGATCCCTGGCTGAGGTCGTGCTTGGCAGGTTCCTCCGTTACGAAGTCCCTGTGCACCCCGCCCCGGCCCCGCCTCGAGTACTGTAGTCTTGGAAGGAAGGTGCGCAGTTTCCTCTTCTTCAGGACGGTGGGTCCCATCACTTGTTTGCAGTTTGCCCGGGAGATTTGTCTCTTTGTCCTCAGGTTCACCGCTAAGCTTGGAAAGTCGCAGGGATCGCCTAGGAATCGTGAATCGGTGGTGTCAGGAGGGGCTGGACGGGCAACGACGGACCCAGTGAGGTTCCGGCTGATTGTTACCGGTGCCTTCACTCTGGGTGCTCCATACGTCCCACCACGACTGGTTTTCCAACTGTCACTGTGGAACAGGTGTTTGGGAAGCCGCCCGAGGCCCCACAGGATGGCTCTTCGACGTGGACTGAAAGAAGCTAACTTTTAGGTAGAAAAACCTCAGATGGGGCTGTTAGAAACAGTGTCTAAAAATATTTATTCAGGTCCATCTTTAAACACTTTCAAGAAAATGACCAAGGGTTTTCTTTTTTAAACTACATTCCAAACTCTACAAGGATATGTTTTTATTTGGGACAATCGCTCATTTTTCTAAAGGAAGACAAGTCGTCTTTTCTCTCTAAGAAGGAAACTCTCTCTGTGCGGAGGACAAAAGTGTGTCTTATTTTTCACAGCACCAAAGTAAGACGGAGGTTCTGGTCAAATTTTGCTTTTGTATGCCTATCACAAAATTCCATCTGGATTCTTAATTGAAGGATGTAATTGAGAAGTCCGTTTATCAGAAGAGCTGCTTTCAGGGGGAAGGAGACAAGGTCAGTGTGGGTGCTGCCCGCCTGGCAGATGCCCCTCCGTGGTTCTAGAAGGAGCAGAAAGTGGCGTTTCCCTGTGAAGCACGGAATGGGGAGCATCTTTCCCCCCCAGAATTCAGGGTCTGAAGACTGAGACAGTCGCAAGTGCAGCATGGCGAGCTTGGGGGCGGTTTCAGCGCCACAGCCTCAGGGGCCCCGGGTCTGTGCTCCCCTTCCCTCTCCCGGCGGGGCACCGGAAGCCCCGTGTTGTTTCCAGGAGGCTCAGCCGCTCACGAGGGACATCTCTGCCCAGGTGTTTTAGACTGGATCTGTGCCTTATTTCACACACAACGTCAGCTGTTATATTCCACTGTAAAAAAAAAACAAGAGCAAACCCAGAAACTCTACAGGTTCTTGGAGAAAGTCCAGAAGACGAGTCGCAAGTATTAGTATTTCCAGCCATTAAAATGCTGAGCACTGCAAACCTGCTCGGAGAGTAGCTTCCCGGTCGGTGGTCTGGTGGGCGGAGGGAGAGAGCGGTGAGTGAGGCCCGGGTCCGACCTGGGACCCACCAAAGGGCTCTTTCCTCCGAGGCTCCTGCTTCCACCAGACCAAACATTTGCCAATTCCCGGGCTGCTGGGATTTCTTTCCCCGAAGAAATCACACCTGTTCTGCAGCAGACTTACATGAAGGAGTGAGACCTTCGGCTCTGGCACGCGGTGGCCTTCTCGTGGCCCTCGGCCCTCCCTGAGGCCCACCCTTGCGTTCATCCTTCACCCTCAGGTGCCGCGCCCCTGGTATTTCAGGGGATGCAAGAGGAGCCTGTGACTGTAGGGGCCGTTGCTGTGTAAGGTGAAGGCGATGTTAAGTAGCGTGTTCCAAAGTTTACGTCCCCCAGCTCGGCCTAGAAAGGTGCCCAACTATTGCATGGTTACTCTTCGATTAACAAGTAGTGACTCATTTATTTATTGACTCCTCGCACTGGTCACAGGCAAGGTACAGCCATTGAGGATGTAGGAAAATAAAATACTTGACGTGTTCCCACTGTGAAGGAACCCGTTAAGAGGAAAAGGAATTGTAAATATCAGTAGTAGTAGTAATAATAATAATAATGACAATAATAATAATAAAAGTAAATCCTGCTTAGACATTATTAACCCAAGGTTCTACTACCAAAACAGTCTTCTGAAGCTGCTTTATCTAAAACGAGCCCTGAGTTCAGAACCACAGTGCCATTTGTAAGTTCGTCGGCTGTCTGTATAATTACATGAAGTGTCTAATTAATGCTGCTAAGAAACCTACTTGTGAAGGCCAGACTCGTGGACAGAAAACGCGTGCCCTGTTTGGTGACTCGCCTGCCCTTCCGCTCTGTCCCCAAACCAGGCTGCAGGGGGCTGGGGGCTGGGCTGGGGCTCAGCCCCTCTTGGAGGGGCTCCTTCCCTCGAGTGGGGGCCAAAGAGGGGGTGTGGCAGTCCACTGCCTCTGGGTGACAGCATTCTCTGTAGTGGGTCCCCTCCCTTTTGAAGGAAAACTGGGTGGGACGGTGCTGTCATTTTGTGCTGATAATACCCTGATGATAGGATTCAGGATGCTGATGAGTGAGCTGTCTCCTAAATAAGGCAAAGAAGCAGGCTCCTGTCCAAGAGGAGAGCACTGTGAATACTCTCAACGTTGGGAGAGCTTCCTCCTTTCTTAGAAAAGCTACATTTTCAGGAAAAAAAAACTATTTTCGTGAATAAATTTTCTGACGCGAGTTCCATTTTTGTTTAGCATGAGACTTTGATTCTGGGAGGATGTTTGGGAACCAGAATAGAAGTTTAAGAATGTCAGACAAGTGAATACTGAAGTCTGGTTTCTCCAAGACGCTTCGCCGTGGGGGGACTGGGTCTTCCGGGCTCTGTCCGGCTCTATCCGGCTCTGTCCGGCCCCGTCGTTTCTCGGTGTCTGTTTCTTGAAGTGTCTTTAAGAGGCATAGTGGTCGGGCCCAAACCAGTTCTTGTTTCCGTTTGGTTAAGATAGGGAGTTCTGTATATTCAGACAGAAGCATATTTTATTTGGAAAATAATAGGATTTTGTGCAATACTTGTTCCTTGGTGACATAGTTCAGATGAAGATGTACACCTGCTTCTCCGGCAGATGCCTTAAGGTCATGCTTTTCAGTATTTGTGTTAAACTGTATGTAGCAATGTTCTAGGTGGTTTTAGAAAAAAATTGTCTTCGTATTGTGGATAGGAGAAATGTTTTTGTTTATTTAAAATGATTATGGATACTGCATTATAACTAACTGCCTCAGCAACAATAAATATGCAATAAGAAAATCCTGAACCTTAGATTAGTGTTAATATTGTTACTTTAAAGGAGACGTCTGTATATAGTGCAACGAGCTGATTCCATGTAACAAGTTCCGAGTCTCACCAAGGTCAGGTGCCCATCACAGACCGGAGTAGCCTTTGGGATGAATCTTTGGTATGATTGACACAGGGCATTGCCACACCCTCGACTCTGTAAATGAAGTTGATTTTTGTATAATGTACAGTTTGTTTAACCTTATAGCTTCTATAGGTTCCTACTTCTGTGATACTTGAATCAGGCAGGAAAGCACTGTGGAAAAATCAGTAGCTCTGGATGCAATATGTAAACACACCAAAAAAAAAAAAAGATTAAGGTACTGAACTGTCCTGTTCACTGGATGCTGTATAACCAGAAAGCTAGGTGTTTTGTTTTAAAACCAGTGTTTAGTTAAGTGAAGGAATTTCAAACCGTACAATCATTTGTCATCTGTAGAATCACAAATGATTACCTCTTTAATGTAAGAAACCTCTGGGGCTCTCTGTCTCCGAGCCATTTTGTCTCTCAATGAGGACACCTGTTCGTGTCCCTCAGCAGGGGACATCGAGGGGCCTGAACAGATCACCCGCCGGCCGGTGGGTGGCGTGGTGCCGAGGACAGGACACAGTGGGAGCTCTGCGCACGCTGGCCTACCACGCGCGTGGCGTCAGCCTCCGTGGGGCCAGGGCCCCGCTTCCTCTCGGGTCTCCTGAGAGCCGCTGAACAAGCGGACACCTAGCACGGGGCTTCTCGAGTCTGCTGTGATTAGTACTTAGAGCCTAAGACAGCAGAGAACTGAAATGCGTGTGAAGCCTGCCACTTGGCAATGCATCATCAGTCTTTTGCATAAAAGGCACATGAGAGGTTCCACGTTGAACTTCCCCGAAGTTTGTTTCTTTGGCTTAAAGGAGTAACTTTGAAAGGACTGAGCCTTTTGCATGCCATGGAGGCAGGTGTCTGTAAAAATCTCGCTGGCGTTGAGACCGGCTTCATTGTCTTGCATCCCTGAGGTTACGGTAGAATCATTTCTGCAGCTGAGTACTACTGGGAGAACACTGCGGACACGAGGGTTGTTTGGGGACTTCCTTTAAAATATGCAAAAGTCAATGTGGGATGGACGACATGTCCCCATCAAGTGCCCAACAGCGCGGTTGTGGAATAAAGTTGGTTGTGATCAACTCTCTGCGTGGTGATGGTTCTTTTCTACAGCTGGGCAGGTGTCCCCTGGGTGTTTCCGGGTGACCCGTGGTGGGACCTTCCCATGTCCACCTCAGCTTTGCTTCCTGGCCAACGCCAGCCTACACTCTCCCCGACAGGTACGGCCAACTAATTTCCTTAGGCTGTACGTTCGTTAGGGGGATGGAGCACCACTGACCGTATCAGAACAGGACTCTTATCCAAGTTCACCAACCGCACTGATTGGCCCTTCTGTAGGGGTTGAGGCCTGGGAGGAAACACGGTCAAGTGCATGAGCAGAGCTTCCAGGACTGGAAGGGTGACCTTTCTATCCGGGAGCTTTGGGACACCCGGGAGGGAAAGACCCCTGTGGAAACGCACGTTTGAAGGTGGAAGAACAAAGTCGTCCCCATGTGCACAGGGTAGAAGTGAAGAAGCCGGGGTGGGTGGGTCTGTCAGTTTCCTGGATATGCGGGGTGGGGGTGGGGTGGGGAGTGGAGCTGCAGGTCTGGAAATTATAGCTTCACTTGAACCCACATCTTCTTAGTAAGATCCCCTAGCTTCAGGCAGAATTTCTCCCTCCACGGTCACCAGGTGGTTTTGTGACTGTCCACTTACCTACCCCCTTCCCGAGACCCAGTCTCACCAGCAGGTTGAACACAGTGCGTGTCTATGTGCTCCAAGCGGTTCTGTTGGGAATTGGAGGGGAAAAATCCAGTGAACAGCAGATTTCCGGGTGTGCACGTTGATACAGTTTCCACTCTGGCACAGGCAGTCCACCCTCTCGGGACCTGTCCCCTTGAAAGCAGAACCTTGTCCTGTTCATCCTGGACGCTCCAGTGGTCAGTGCGACACCAGCAGACACTTCAGGCGGGTGCTGGATGGAATTGTCCAGAAGGCCACTGCGGGTCCAAGAAGGCGGAGCTTTGGTAGGAGCTTCCAGCCCTGACTGACAGGCGACACAAGAGCCGAGAGGAACAGCGCTGGGCTTAGTGACGGTCCAGCATCACCTGTCTCAAACTCATGCAAGCCAGCGTCCAGGAGGAAGTCCACACGGCAGTCATTTCACCACGGATGACGGGTAAGGGCTCTCAGACAGTCATATTATTATACATACTTTTAAAAGAGCCACAGACTGAAGGGTAATTTAAATACTCAGCTACCAGGCAACTAGAGGTGAAACTTTTTCTTCAAGCGCGATCTCTCTCTTTACACACTGTTGCCGACGGATGAGGTGCCATGTTAACCATTGGGGCTGTTTCGCATTTGAAGGTTTAAACTGAATGACAGGCAAGTGGTAGTTGGTTTGCTCAGTGATTGCCTGACCCGTCCAGGTAATGGTTTGGAAAATGTTAGCAGAGCAGGAAAGAACAGTGTGGCCATTTACAGTTCCTTTGGGTTTAAATTATTCCAGACAGTCCCGGCCAGATTTGACCCTGGGTGCCTGGCTGAGAGGGTCAAGGTGTATCTGCCTGTGGGAGGTCAGCTGAGTGACATGGCCTCCAATGTCGGGCTTCCCACCTCAGTACATGCACTTTCTTCCGTGGTCTGTCTTGGGTGTCCCGGCTTGCACACTGAACGTTTTTTGGTTTGTTTCTAACTTTGTCACCATGTTAAATGTCCCCAGCCCAGGACTTGCATCGCTGGCATCTCCCTCCCCTCTCCCTTCCATCCTTGGCTTCTTCCCTCCAGCCAGGTCCACTTCTCTGGGGGTCTGCTGCCCCTTCCAGGAAGGGTCTGTGCTCTGTGTGGTCTTCACTGCCACCACGGTGTCCCCGAGATGAGACATCAGATGATAGGTTTGCCTTCAGTGGAGTTCTCGTCGAACTTGGCACCACATGCCAGGCGTTGGTGGCTTTATCTTCATTAACTGAGAAACCTGAATGATGATGCAGGTGCGAGAAGTATTAGCTGTGCTGGTTTTAAAATCAGACTTGTGTGTTCCAGATATGCTTGAATGACTCAAAGCCACAGGTGTTGGAACAGCCTCCTGGGGTCGGAAACCTCCAGCAGCTGAGGACACCTGAGCATTGTGGCACTTCCTGAGGGCAGGAGAACCACTGGGGGGCGGTGGAGGAGGAGACCCTCAGAGGGCACCAGATCCCTGAGTTCGGTTTAACTTCGGGGCCTGATGCGTGGAAAGTGAGGGGCGTGGCCTGTAGGGAGGCACCTGGACAACATCGGCTACCTCCGTCCGCTCCCTCTTCCAGGAGGAAGACCAAGCAAGAAAATGACCGAGAGCGGTAGACTTCACACAGAGGAGAGAGCTGGATGCTGGAGGTGAGTTGTATCGAGCCGGAGAATGTCCGATCACACTTCCCTGTCACAGGTCCCCAGGCAGGTGGGCTGGAGTGCGAGAAAGTGCGAGAACATGAACGGGGACACAGCTCTGACAAGGGGCAGAGCTGAGTCTGCCCACAGGTGTTTCCACTCGATGGTGGCTCCGTGCTGGACAGATTCTCATCACCCACCTGCCTGTGCAGGCCACCGGTTCCAGTCACGCGTGCGTCTGGAGAATCCTGCCTCTGGTCTGCCTCTCCTCTGATCAGGGGTCAGCTTTGCTCCAACTCCGTGAGGGACTTAGAGCCTGTGCTTGGGAAGGGTGGCCTGGCACAGAGTTGAGGACACTGGTCTCAACTCTCATGACCTTGAGATGAGAACATTCTAGAAAATGCCCAAGGTCACAGGAGCTGTGTGACCTAGTGACTGCCTGCTCTTGGACCACCCAGTTCAGGGCCAGTGCTGTTTGGTGCGGCCGCAGCTGGCCGCAGGGTGTTTGCAGGACACCAGGGACCGTCCCCACCACCCTTCTCAAATAATGGCCTCTGGGGATCGGGTCACAGAGAGGACAGGACTGATGGAGGCTGTCACCAGTCCTGACTAGGCTGAGATGCCAAGAATCACCACCACAGCACAGAGTTGGAGCGTCCGCCACATTTGAGTGGTCGCCTTGGGGCCTGGACTTCCAAGCAGCTGTCCCCGGGCCTCCGCTGCCGGGTACTCGAGGGATGCCATGGTCAGGTTCCCGGAGCCGCGTCCGGCCAAGCCCAGGGCCCCGTCCCGGGAGAGTGGGCTTCATTCAGTTGGAGTCACTCGTCTTTGTTGTCATGGTTCAGCACAGTGCATGGCCGTCAGCGCTGGCCTGCAGGTCAACCTGGGGAAGGTCATGTTCACTCCAGAATGCAGGCAGGTTCGTGATGAGTGTCATTCCCCTGCATGGCCTCAAACCGGGGGAGTGCAGCTGGCTCACTGTCACCAACTGGGGGCAGAAACCCAGGCATGTGGGTCCATCCTGGCTGCTGGTGACGACTGTGGAGGACGGTGGGCCCTTCACAACAGCGGAGCGAGCAGCCACTCTAAAACCCTGATTGACGGTCATCTCTGTGAAAGGAAACTTGGAAAAATGAATCTTAGCATGTCAGTGGTTTGGCGGACTGAGACATGGGCAAGCTTTTGAGTCATTTTCTGATAGTTTTACTGGGAACGTATGAATGCTCTGTTCATTCGTATCCATCTCACGGAGGAAGGGATTTCTTCAGTCGGGGGCCAGGTGCCCCGGGGCAAATCTGAGCTATTGCAATGGCATGAAAAAGCAATCGTTCTCCAAACGACACCGGCTGGCTTTACTAACGCAGCCCACGGTGGGCGGGAGGACCAGGCGGAGCGGATGCCCAGGCGGTTTGCTCGGCAGAGACGGGAGGAGGTGGGAGGAAACATCACCCGCCCTGGCCTCTCAGCCTGGCTCCGCCACAGGCGAGCGACAGTGACCATGCCACGCCTGTACAATGGAGGTCCCATCCTCGAGTCTCCGGGACGGGGCAGACCACTGTAGTGGGGGGGGTGGCCGTGGCATGAGAGCCCCCCTTTTCCTGCTGGCTTGGGCTGTAGGTCCCCTGGGTGGCCCTTCTGTGGGAGGTGACAGTGGACACAACCGCTGCTAGAAAGAGGACCGACAGCAAGGCTGCCGTCCCTGAGCCAACAGCAGTGAAAATGTGCGTGATCAAGTCATCAGCCACCTGCATGGATGGAAATGATGGGGATGTAAGTGACAAAGGGTGAAGGTTGTGACGAAGGAGCTGCTCTGGAATGACACCGGAGAGCGCCGATTCCACTCAGCACGGCACAGAGGCCAGGGAGGGAAAGGCAGTCAGGCTGGTCATTCCCAGACTGTGTGGCCATGACCGTGGCCCTGGCACCGAAGGTCTAGCATCACCGTGTGAGGTGTGAACTACGTACTACGGTGACCGGGCCTTCCTCTCCAGGACAGAGGTCACTTGTGTGTCATTGAAAACAGGAAGTGAACCCATAGGTATATTTCTGAAACACTTCTGCGCAGACAGAGACGTGGTCCTCCCAGCCCCTTGCCTCCTTCGCCGAAAGTCCTCATTTTAGACTGAAAGAAGGTGGCTTCACAGCCCTTTCTGAGAAAGGAAGCGAACTTTAGTTCACTGCAGTGGCTGGTTCTCATGGGGAACCTCTCAAGACCGAGGATGGATGGAGACTTCCCTGCCGAGCCTTGCAGGCTGTCCCCACTGTCCTCACCGTGAGCAGGGAACGGTTGTGAAAACACAGGAGCTGGATGCTGAACCAGACGTCCAGAAAGAGGAGCCGCAGCAGGCCGGGCCCTGCTGTTCCGTGTGGACGGCACGTGTGTGCAAAGCTGTGGGGGACCCAAAACTGTGATGTACGTGCACAGAAAACTATGAAGGGCAGCACCCAGCTGCTGTTGGAACTTCTTAAGTGGTTTTCAGACAAATCTCTCTGTCCGAGAGAAAGCAGCAGTGAACTAGTTTTTCTTCTCAATGAGCTTTCAGACCTTCTCCACTTTCATAAGACTGTGAAAAATTCTGGGTGGCAATGACGTCATAACCCCCGATTCTGGGAACCTTGGGAGGAGGGCGTATAGAGTTTCACCCCACTCGGTACTCTTTGGGAAAAATAGCTGACTGCAGCTGGAGGGCAGGTTCTCCAGCCACGCTGTGTGGCCGCCCTCTGTGAGCAA